AAAAAAACCAACACTTAGTAATTATTTAATTCAAGTAATTATTTAATTCAAACAGGTGTGGAGTCAGTAATTATAGACTTTATTTTAATTTTGGGGTTTTGGTGTGAAGTGCAATTAGTAACATTATTCTAAGAATATTAAATGATTTGAAAATACAGGGCTCCATATGCAAAGAAGTTCTGTCTGGCTGATATTTTACAAGGTTGCATTTAGGTGACATGGGCCTGAGTTGGATGCTGTATATATGTATATATAGATACTTAAAGAGAGAAAATACATAGAACATTGTCACTGCCACCTTCCTACATGTACCAGTTTCTTCCATGTTAAGTTTTTGTCCGTGTTCTTGTTTTGGGCTTTTTACATATAGAATGCTTGTGAAATGCACTGATAGAAAAACTTTTTGCCTGGCTTTTACATGACCCATACGATGACACAAATGTGTGCATTGTTTCACTTACTTGCGAACTTTTTTGTCATTCTGTACAAATGCTCCATTATTCCGTATAATTTCACATCTTCAGCTGTTGAAGTGTTCAGTTGATTTGCAGTTTTCGCTTTGAATATCCAAATTACAAGAAATTTGCCTATGCCCATAAAGTAAAAAAAGCATTTGAAGCATTGTCCTATCTCTAGATTTGGGTACAGTTTTGCAAAGGAACAGATTTTGAAATTTTTTGACCACAAATTTGAGTCTACTCCAAAACAGTGGTAGTCTACTAAGATGGACCAACCACCACTCATACACCCCATTTCCATAGATTAGATCGACCTACTTTAGATCGACCTAACTCCCTGGGGGTTCACGCTAAATAGCTGTCAGCGGGGCGGACACGAAAGTTAATAACCCCTTACAGCTTGTAGTAGGCGGGACAGACATTTAAGTCAGATTATCTGAAAGTAATCTAGTGAGACTCCCCGCAGGGATAGATCGATCTAAAATCTATGGGAATAGAGCCTTAGACTGGGTTCCCATAAACCTGTCGTACTAGTAGGATAGATCTAACTCTTGGGGATTCTCTCTGAATTGCATTCAGTTTAAGGGGCTTAATGGTCTGTCATGCCCACTGAAGCTGCCAAGGGGTTATTAACTTGCGTACATGCCTAAACTGAATGCAATTTAGTCAGAGACCCCTCGGAGATGGATCTATCCTGCTAGTGCGATACCGTATGGGAATTGTCCAGAAAACATTGGTCATTTCATACTGTTTGTGTACCAGATTCATTGTCCTCATTTTAAGTAGACAATTAATTATTCTTCTTAGGTGAAAGAAGACTGCCCCCCCCCCCCCCCTTTTTTTTTAATATGAGATCACAGTTTGACTTGAGTTCCTTTGTGAAGCCAATCTCTGGTTTCCTTTCCCAGATCTATTCTTACACTAAAGCATCTTACATTTTTGTTTTGTGATTTCATGGCTGTTGGTATTGTTATTTTTTGGTTCTAAGGAGGACTATATATGGGCGCATATAGCACACAAATAGTGGCTCCCAAGTTTGGGGAACTCTCATTCTGGCCCTTTGTTTGTAATATGTAGCTAAGTATGAAAGCTTTGCTGGTGTCACACTCTTTGCAGTTTCACAAACTGGTTTTCAGGGTTGATTGTAGTTGGCAATGATGACATCGAACAATTCATATTATATGATACATGATGTATTTTGTTACTATCTCAGAAATATGAGATAAGTTTCAACTGATTGACAGTATATGTGTGTATAGTATGCATACATACAATTTATAGCAGTGCATGTAGGTAACTGCAAGTCAGTTGAAACCAGTTGCAAACATTGTTCAAGTGCCTTAAGTTTATTAATTGCCAATATGCACTACATCAGGGTTGGAGATATAAGCTCATTTTATTTGAAATTAACTTTAAAAGAAACGGTTGGTTTGGTCAAGGTGTTTGGAAAGTGGGTGTGGGTTTAACACTGATTGTATCTTAGTGTTGAGTCCGTTTAGAGACCATTGCACTGCTCGCATGCTGGATGGCCAATATGGGTCTGTTAGGGTAATATTGGTTATTGGGTTTGTCAGAAGTTATAATGTATCAGAAATGCTACTCCGGAGTAGAAACTGTGTCAGAATGCAATGTCTTTTGATTTGTCAAGCCTTTCAACGTGTCTTCAGTGCATTTGAAATAGGTTTCGCTATACCTTACCATAAATTTGCACTATTTTCGGGTGGGAGGGAGGGGGTACTGTGTAAAATCACTCTGCTGCCACATTGGTGAACTAATTCCTGAATGCAGCATGGACAGTCGAACTTCACAGAAAATATATGGTCACTATATGGCATAAATGTGTTGCCTACTTTACCATGTGGTTGGGAAGGTTGACTTACTAGATATAGTATTCTCTAATCATCATACAATTATGATAATAATTTAGATAAGGGGTGAAGCATGCTGGAGATCCAAACAATCCCCTTTTCAAGTCTAAACCATGTGGACTTGGTCAACATAGCTACTGCAATATGGGGTATGAAAAGCATGTAGGTTTGGGGTGGGGAGTAGGTCCACTGTGAATAGAACTTTTACATAGGTTCGATGCCATTATGATAGACTGCTTTAAAGGTCTATCTTTTAAAAAAAAAATGCTGGCCTCAAGCGCTTGGATAATATCAAAAATTAGTATACCAAATTTGTTTTTATGGTGTTTGTTGATGCTGTTATTGCTAAAGCTTTTAGTTTATGTTCTTATGAAGCAGCCTTTAAGCTTAGTGTATTGGGTATTTTGACTTAGTCCACAAACTTTAATAGTGCTAGCATAGGAACAAATGCTCCAAATTTTATGGAATAATATTGATGGTGTTTTGTAGAATTGGACGTTGTATTGCATGGCTACATGGTGATGTTGCTCTGTGTGGTATTTATAGAGGTTTAGTTAAACCTTAATTTAGTGAAGGTGGTATGTTAAGTATACAGAAGTATGTATATGTTGAAACATAAGTTGATGTAATACAATATTATTTACTAAAAGAGTATATTGGCAAAGTGGTTCTACTTGTGAAATTAAATAATTAGTGCTATATTACATTTTATAGACATTTTTATTGTTATCTTTATTTTGTAGTATATACGTATATAATTTTTTTACTCTTTTTTAAATCTTTTAATCCCCACACAGACGTAGAAGCCAATGCCAGCACAGGCAACTCCCACTTTAAGGCAGGCACTGCTAACGCTGACGGTGACAGAGACGTGGAGGCCCCGCCCCCAGGAGAGGAGGGGGAGCAGGGAGAGCAACAGAAGAAGGAGGGAGGGGGGCAAGGGTTTGGCAGGAAGGAAAAGTCCGTGCTGCAGGCCAAACTGAACAAGCTGGCCATCCAGATTGGCTATGCTGGTGAGTTAGACAGGGCACAGTTTACATTATTACATATTGATTAAAGGTTATAAGAACCAGGTGAATGAATTTAAATTATGTATGTGGAATAGATATGGTATGATTGATCTACGTATTCAATGTCATTTAGAATATGCGTGTTTTAGCAGTATTTTCTGTCATGCAGTCAAAAGTAAAATGTGCTGTTTGCATTGATATATGTAAGATTTTATTTAAGAAAAAAATTTTCACTTTATATTCATACTTTTTTTTGTCTTTTTTGTTTTCTAGGTACCATCATCGCAGTTTTGGTTGTGATTGTGTTAATAGTTAGGTTCTGTGTAGAGACGTACGCTGGGGAGAATGCCCGCGCCTGGAACACCAAAGATTTGCAGTTTTTTGTCAAGTACTTCATCCTGGGTGTCACGGTACTGGTGGTGGCTGTCCCAGAGGGGCTGCCCCTGGCTGTTACACTAGCTCTGGCCTACTCTGTCAGGGTGAGTGATTAGACGGCTTTTTCAACTTTCATGAAGGGTTGTTATTATGGTTTGACTGGTCACTGATAGTTTACCTGAGCAATAATTTTGATGAAATTATAATATTAGGTTGAAGTGGTATGTTTTATATTGATGATGCAGTATGATATGGTGTGGTAATGGCTGCATATCAAAAACTTCCCTAGAAACAAGATTTTAGTCTGTTAAACCAATGGTATGGACTGGAATATGTGCACATTAAAAAGAAGCTTAAGTTTGTATTCATGATTTTATAGAAAATGATGCACGACAACAACTTAGTGCGGCACTTGGATGCCTGTGAGACCATGGGCAACGCCACTGCCATCTGCTCTGATAAGACTGGAACACTGACCACCAACAGAATGACCGTTGTCCAGAGTTATATTGGAGGTAAGGAGAGCTTGGGTGATTGAATAATGTATTTGATTAAAATATGAATCTATGTTCTGGTCACTTGGTAGGAATTTTAATTGAATGAATGTAATATGTTTTGATGCCTACAAAGAGAGGTTTCACTTTGGAAGCTGAATTTGTTGTCATTGAAATGAAAAAGATACGTAGTAGGATAAGAAAAAAAAACATAAACAATATGAAAGTCCTCTCTTAAAACTGAAATATTCCATTCAGATTGTGAAATTAAGTATATACATAAGGTTTTCTGTTTGGTGTTTTTAGAACAGCATTACAAGAGCACTCCAGACTTCAAGAGCCTCCCAGCACAGACAGGACAGTTACTGATCAGATGTGTCTCCATCAACAGTGGCTACAGTACCAGGGTTATTGTAAGTTACGCTATAGATTATGAACTGAAAGGAAAACCTATTGAGAAATGGAACAAGGACATTTCTGAATATTTCCTAGATGAATAAAGCACTATATTCTTCTGGTTTTTGAAGTAGTCTTGTTTTCCATTCCACAATGCAGTTAGTATCTCTTGTTCATGTCATGAAATTCTACACTTTTCATTTATGATATTTTAAGAGGGTTAAATGAGTTTTTTCTTAATTTTCCCCCTAGAAATCTCCAACAGAGGACCTTCCGAAGCAGCTGGGTAACAAGACAGAGTGTGCTCTGCTGGGGTTTGTGATGGATCTGGGCCAGAGCTACCAGGCGATACGAGAAGAAGTCCCAGAAGAGAGATTCCACAGAGTGTATACATTCAACTCCATGAGGAAGTCCATGAGCACGGTCATCCCTACGGAACACGGGTTCAGACTTTTCAATAAAGGAGCCTCCGAAATGGTGCTGAGGAGGTAGGACTGCTTTTCAAGGAAGAATTGTGAATTGTAATTTCATAGTGTAAAAAAACGTATGTAACAGGGAGGTCAGTTTGATGTTATTTAGTTAAAATAAACTTGCAGTAGGTTTTTATATGGGCTTAATGATGTAGTATAGGAAGGCACTCTATTAGATAATTTTATATTTTGTAAGTGTTGTACATTAACAGTTAAATGGCAATATGTACTGATGTAGATTTCAACCAACAAGATTACCTTTTTTTACTCCGCAAAGGAAGTGATGCTATGGCCTTTGAAGCGTGTTGATTTAAAGCTTAACAGAAAGTTAGTGTATTAAGTCGTAAAATAATAATGAGCATGATGCTGCCTTGGTGGAGGTCTTCGCTAGTTTGACATTAGATTTAAAAATGAGATGAACCTACATGGTTTGTGTTTTATTTTTTTCTCTTAGATGTACTTTTATTCTTGGAGCTGGAGGCAGGGTGCGACCATTTTCTGCCCATGATGCAGATAACTTGATTAAAAGAGTGATTGAACCAATGGCAATGGACGGCTTGAGAACTATAGGAATAGCTTATAAGGACTTTGTCAAACGTTAGTTATAGTCTTCGGTGTGTGCGATAATGTACTGAGTGACACCATGGTTACCTATCATAACAGTTAACAGTTGATCTGTATTGTTTCCATTTTGTCCATTTCATACTGTAATGTGCTGCCTCTACTATCTTAAATTTCCCTTATCTCAAAAGTTGTGATAACAATTTGAGAAAAGTATGTGCAGTAGTTTTGCCACACAGATTTACAATACTTTTAGAATTGTATTCATAAATAAATACATAAATAAACAGCTCAGTGCCATCTGCTTTGACTGATAATGATATTTAAAAACTCAAGATATGATTTTGTGTTCAAAATGAAGTCCTCTCTCTCCACCTCTCTGCTCCATATTTCAGACAACCCAGCCACCAATGAGGTCCACTTTGACTCGGAGCCTAACTGGGACGACGAGGACAGCATCGTGTCTGGACTGACCTTGATTGCAATCACTGGGATTGAGGATCCTGTCAGACCAGAGGTAATCTTCAATGTCAGTGTTGGGAGTCACTGACTCTGAGCATGACATCACTCAAAGCATAAATGAGAGGTCAATGTCTTCCAGATTTATTCAGAAATCCAGCAATTTTTGTTGTATAATTATTTGAATCTCATTTGTATAGATCATAGAAAATTACATTTCATTAACAGTGAAATAAATATGTTATAACAGATTATAAATTTTGCATGAAATCCCCAGGTTCCAGAGGCCATACGGAAGTGTCAACGTGCCGGAATCACGGTGCGTATGGTGACAGGTGACAACATCAACACAGCCAGGTCCATAGCAACCAAGTGTGGAATCATCCACCCTGGTGATGACTTCCTAGTCCTGGAGGGAGGAGATTTCAACAAGCAGGTTAAGAATGATCATGATGAGGTGAGCACTCAATAGACCTGGCCCCTGTTTCTTAAAAGAAACTTAAGTCAGTTTCCCTAACTAAGAACTTGGTTACCAGCATTACATGGTCACATGTATGCATCTTACCCTATCAACAACGGTGTTACAGCATTCTCATGGAAATCACTAAGCCAGGGAACTGATTTTTATTTTTTTGTGCAACAGACAAACCTGCAGCATTCAGTTATATAAGTGCTTTGTTTGTTTGTTTGTTTGTTTCCAGGTTGTACAAGAAAACCTGGACAAGATTTGGCCCAGACTCCGTGTTTTGGCCAGGTCTTCCCCAACAGATAAGTATGTACTAGTCAAGGGCATCATTGACAGTAAACTCAGTGCCAATAGAGAGGTGGTGGCAGTGACGGGAGACGGTACCAACGACGGACCTGCACTGAAAAAAGCAGATGTTGGATTTGCTATGGTAAATGATGCTCTGTGTGTGCTTGCGTTTAAAATCAAATAAGAGACAATTACACGAAAGAGCTCAGATATAATAGATGAAATTTTAACTAGTGGGACTAGTGGGGCTTTATCTATGTGTTGCTTCAAGTTGCTAAATTAAAAATTATTTCCCCCAAGTTTCACTGATGATATTCTGTGCAGTACTTCAAAACCACATTATTAAATGACATATAAGCTTATGTTTTTTTTTTTGTCTTGTAGGGTATTGCTGGAACAGATGTGGCTAAGGAAGCATCTGATATCATCCTTACAGATGACAACTTTACCAGTATAGTCAAGGCTGTGATGTGGGGCAGAAATGTCTATGACAGTATCGCCAAATTCTTACAATTCCAGTTGACTGTCAATGTTGTAGCTGTAATAGTGGCATTCATTGGTTCACTGACAGTGAGGGTAGGATTTCAAGGGGATTTAAACCAATCAAAGTGCTGCTTTCTTTTTAAGCATGGCTTAGTACACAGTTTATGTCAGGATAGTCACAATGCTTTTTTTATAATGTTGAAGCAGTTGTATTTTACATGAATAGAAGTGGATCTTCTTTCTTGTTAACTGGTCATTCCTTCTCATCTTACTCTTTTCACATGCATGTTGTTATACAATCACATACATACTACATAAGGTTTTCCTAAAACCATCTTCAGATGTCCCACTTATCAAGGATTTTAGCCTGCTATTTAAAACATGCCATATTTTGTAAAAATGAAATCCAGTGCTTATCCTGAATTTTTGCAATAATTTTTAACAATTGCAATTTACTCACAACTATTTCATTACTTGTTTTCTCTCTTGGCACCTGGCCCCCGTTTCACAAAAAAACTTAAGTCGGGTTCTCTGACTTAGGGCTTGGTTACCAACGTAATTAAGTCGTTACGTCACTAAGTCCCGTTTCACAAAGAATCTAAAAGGTCGCTTACGTCGTTTTTTTCTTAGCTGTAAGTCGACGATGTCAAGCCTCCTCGGGAGGAGACTTAAGTCGGCAAGCTCAACTAAAACTCGGTAAATGAGAGCATAAACAACAAAAATTTGGAAAGAACATACCTCCTTCAAGATATTGTGTTATAATATCCTTGAATAGCACTGACATTTATGGAATATTAAAATAAAAAATAAAATTCCACTTTACCCAGCCGATCGCGTGTTTGTTTATGTTTTTGACCGCTAGACGTCCTTCAGTAGTGTTCCACGACAAGCTAATGTTTAACTGTTACTTTGAAGTTGTATTGAAGTTAAACTTATCAATAAAGTTCAAAAACAAACTTTGCTTGTGTTTTGGCTGACTTTTATTGTTGATAAACGATCGTTCTCGGCCGAAAGAGGAAATGAAACGTCATGTCTTGTGAAACTTTTGCAATTTTACACCTCCTTTTCTTGAAGAGTTTCTCGTGCGCGTCGACTTCGGTAAGCACGCCAAGCTAAGACGTTAGATTCTTTGTGAAACACTCCAAGTCGACTTCAGCTAAGTCGACTTAGCTAGGCCACCCAGCTCGAGTAAGACGTCTACGGATTTAAGATTCTTTGTGAAACGGGGGCCTGATCCTTGAATATTGATATAGAATTGAATCACTGTGATGACCAAATTTTGACATCAAGCATGAAATGATATACCCAGGTGTTATTTTGGCAGCAGTTCAGAATCTTTCCTTTGGATGCTTTATTTTGCACTACTAGGATCACACCACTTAAACATTGTGTTTCATACTCTTCATTAGTTGTATGCAGTTCTACCAACACTACCAGCTCTGCATTTCTATGGCTTTGTATAGATCCAAGTTTCCTGGGAATACCATGATGCACCACCATGGTGGTTCATGGTACTTCATAGGGACTTGAACTTCACATGACTTGCCATGACATACCATCATCTCCTATAATTAACACTGCAACCACCTCTTTACTGTCATCTTCCTTTATTCATATCCCACATTCAAAGCTTATATTAGTATGTCTCACATATTATTTCTGTAAACCTCACTCCACTTCTGCTTATTGATTTTAAACAAGTCTCAGTTAAATTCTGGAGTGGTTTGATGCTAAGATTGTACCCAATGCAATAAGGAAGGCAGCACTTTGAGGAAGATTTCTGTTCAGTACTTTAGATGTCTTTAGGATGGCCAGCAATTGTAGACTTTCAGCACAATGGTCACAGTGCAAACAGTACCATGTAGTATATAGACTGTTGGTTGTTTGCGGTGTGGTGGGAAAGTCCAACAATTGCTGAGTCTTGACATTGATGTGGAATATGGTTTTCTTTACAGAGCATGATCTGTTGCCTTTCTCTCTATTATTTCTTCTCTTAGAGCCATTTAACCATTGTTTCTTTTTATAACTTACAAAAATTGTCCTTTCTTTATTTCCATTCTTTTAACTGTAGATTACAATTTCAGTTTTACTAATTTAAAAATATTAATGTGGGCAGGGAAAACACTTGCAAGGATAGTACACTGTGCAAAAAAGAAAAAAAAAAGGTCAGTCTGATTGACCTCAATATGTGTCAAGGTAAAAAGTCATTGTGACCTTGACCCAGTTCCACCACAAGGCTCTCGGGGTAAATAGAACAAAACAAAAAATTGGAGTGGAACAGAACAAATCTGTAAAGCTGAACTATTCCCCTTATGTCAATGTGCTGAGCTGCAACAGCATGTCTGTGTATTTGTATAGGTATATTTACATATACACACATACATGCACTGATGTTTATCAATCCGTATATTACTGTGCTTGTAGACTTACCCTAGAACTGTCTAGAGTAGCAGGGATGTCACTAGTTACCACTTTCAAGGATGGCAGTCTGGGAACAGGGGGGCATACTTGCATGTGTTTGTTTGTTATATTTATTTATTTATTTGTTTTTGTTTACTTTGCATGTATATTCTTAATTGGATTTATTACTCGCCTGTTGCTTGTAGTAAACATTTTTCTTCATTTGGATTTGAAATTTTTGTCAGTAAAAGTTAAAAATGAGTTTTTTTCAATCCAATATTTTTTCTGAGGATTTTCTACTGCATGTGATTTCTTTACACTGTTTCCTATGCTTAACTATTTCTATCATGTTATACCTTACACAGATATAATAACTCACAATTCATCACAACTCCAATATCTTGTTATGCATACTACGAGGCTTGAACACCTGGGCTGGTTTTATCACTGCATAAAGATTTCGTTTTTTACAATAATGTTTTGGTCAGTTTTCAACTTTAAAGAGTGTTACTTGGACTATTCCACAAGGACAAGGTTCGACAGATTTAGTGTGTTGATGTGACTTATCAGCATTTTCTTTATGAAGTGTTTGAAACAGATTATGCTCAACTTACACAATTAGGGCTTTTTATAAACTGCTTATGTTTGGCTTACGTATGGGGGAAAGTGAAGTTCATATGAGTATGATATTTTCAAAGCTTTGGATGCATTATTTGATTACATAATGCATGGACGTAACAAGAGGTCAAGCCCCCTCCACTCCCCCCAGGTGGCTAATGAGGCCCAGTGCTATGCAGTTGCTGGAACCAGTTTAGATCCAGTTTAAAGACAGCTGCATATCCACAGTGATTTGGCTATTGATTAGTATTTATATATTGATCTATTAGTTGCTGTGGCCCTAACCCCTTGTGAATACATTGCGATAAAAACTTGAAAATTTAGTCGGTCTTGAAAATTTTGTTGGAAGAAGATTCTCTGCATCACATTTTTTTTTTTTTTTTTCAATTTGAAAATTTTGTTGAAATTGAAAATGGTCCGCTTCATAATTTTGAAAAGTTTGTCACCTAATATGGGGGTGTTGGATATTTTAAAATAATTTTTAAGTGAAGAAATTTTCAAGTTTTTACTGTAGACCAAGTTTAGACTGGTATATCACAAGATCTTGCTAATAGGTTGTTTGCTTAGGCCTTGGCAGTGAATGATAATAGGTAATTACAGCATGGTTACTAGATGGCGCTTCTTGTTCTTGTATCTCCAGGACAGTCCACTCAAGGCTATTCAGATGTTATGGGTCAATCTTATTATGGACACTCTTGCGTCTTTAGCCCTGGCAACAGAGATGCCCACAGAGGAACTATTGCAGCGTAAACCATATGGCAGGACGAAAGCTCTTATTTCACGCACTATGATGAAAAATATCATTGGTCATTCTATCTACCAACTTACTGTACTTTTTGTTATTTTGTATGCAGGTAAGGGTGAAAGTTAATAAGTAGATAAAAAAGTTTGTTTGTGTCACTTAATTAAGTTTTAAACATAAATTCCAAGTTAATAGATAATTTTGGAAAAAAATCTTCATTTGTTATTCGCTCATCTGTGCTTTGGTATACATATGTTTATAATGTTACCAGAGGATATGCACATGTAATTTGTGTAGGAAATAATAATAGTAAAAATGCAAAATGTGAAACATTGACCCAGAGAGACTGTTCTTTTAAAAGTTAAAATTTTCTTCTTTTTAGGGGACGTGCTGTTTGACATCGATAGTGGCATAAATGTAGATATTAATGCCCCTCCAACGCAACATTTCACTATAATCTTCAATGCCTTTGTTATGATGACTTTATTCAATGAGATTAATTCCCGTAAGATCCATGGGCAAAGGAATGTGTTTGAAGGATTACAGAGAAATGTGCTCTTTATTGGCATCTGGATTACAACAATGTTTTTTCAGGTAAGACATTATTCTATACAGGCTTACTTACATGTTATCTTAGACACTGGTGTTTTTCTGCAAATTCACCAAATTTTCATATTTTGAGCAAAATTCTAGTTTATCTTGTGTTTTGTGAAACTTCTTAATACTAACATGAGGTTCTGGTGGAAGTTCATCTGTGTAGCATATTGTCAGTAATGTTTAGGACTTTTCTCTTCCTTCACAAAATTATGTTGAAAGTGTACCTATGAAAGCTTTCATCCCAACACTTGACCACCATGCCCATTCCCCACCCTACCCCCCTGGTTCAGTTGATGGGTAAAATAGTCTATTTACATTTTGAGCCCAGACACCATCCCTGAACAAGGGCAGGGGTAGACACAACCTGTCTAACATCTGATATGTAGACCTTCAGAAAAACTATTGTGCCTAAAGTGAACAGTTTTAAATTTCCTCAACATGACTCACCAGAGTTGACCAATTTGATTGTCCTTGCAGGTCATTCTTGTAGAGTTACTAGGTTTTGCTTTTTCCACAACCAATCTTGAACCAGAGCACTGGATGTGGTGCCTGTTCCTAGGAATTGGATCATTGCTATGGGGACAGGTAAAATAGAGAAATAAGCGTTAACGTTGCGACAATTATAACTGAAGGTTAAGATGATGATGAAAAGAGTTGTACTAGAGCAAGGGGCTGTGGTGCCTTTTCTTAGGAATTGGATTATGAATAAGAGGATGTTTTAAAAGTAGACAACAAAGTTAGTTATCATAAGAAATGAACTTGACTTTCATGTNGCCTTGGCAGTGAATGATAATAGGTAATTACAGCATGGTTACTAGATGGCGCTTCTTGTTCTTGTATCTCCAGGACAGTCCACTCAAGGCTATTCAGATGTTATGGGTCAATCTTATTATGGACACTCTTGCGTCTTTAGCCCTGGCAACAGAGATGCCCACAGAGGAACTATTGCAGCGTAAACCATATGGCAGGACGAAAGCTCTTATTTCACGCACTATGATGAAAAATATCATTGGTCATTCTATCTACCAACTTACTGTACTTTTTGTTATTTTGTATGCAGGTAAGGGTGAAAGTTAATAAGTAGATAAGAAAGTTTGTTTGTGTCACTTAATTAAGTTTAAAACATAAATTCCAAGTTAATAGATAATTTTGGAAAAAAATCTTCATTTGTTATTCGCTCATCTGTGCTTTGGTTTACATATGTTTATAATGTTACCAGAAGATATGCACATGTAATTTGTGTAGGAAATAATAATAGTAAAAATGCAAAATGTGAAACATTGACCCAGAGAGACTGTTCTTTTAAAAGTTAAAATTTTCTTCTTTTTAGGGGACGTGCTGTTTGACATCGATAGTGGCATAAATGTAGATATTAATGCCCCTCCAACGCAACATTTCACTATAATCTTCAATGCCTTTGTTATGATGACTTTATTCAATGAGATTAATTCCCGTAAGATCCATGGGCAAAGGAATGTGTTTGAAGGATTACAGAGAAATGTGCTCTTTATTGGCATCTGGATTACAACAATGTTTTTTCAGGTAAGACATTATTCTATACAGGCTTACTTACATGTTATCTTAGACACTGGTGTTTTTCTGCAAATTCACCAAATTTTCATATTTTGAGCAAAATTCTAGTTTATCTTGTGTTTTGTGAAACTTCTTAATACTAACATGAGGTTCTGGTGGAAGTTCATCTGTGTAGCATATTGTCAGTAATGTTTAGGACTTTTCTCTTCCTTCACAAAATTATGTTGAAAGTGTACCTATGAAAGCTTTCATCCCAACACTTGACCACCATGCCCATTCCCCACCCTACCCCCCTGGTTCAGTTGATGGGTAAAATAGTCTATTTACATTTTGAGCCCAGACACCATCCCTGAACAAGGGCAGGGGTAGACACAACCTGTCTAACATCTGATATGTAGACCTTCAGAAAAACTATTGTGCCTAAAGTGAACAGTTTTAAATTTCCTCAACATGACTCACCAGAGTTGACCAATTTGATTGTCCTTGCAGGTCATTCTTGTAGAGTTACTAGGTTTTGCTTTTTCCACAACCAATCTTGAACCAGAGCACTGGATGTGGTGCCTGTTCCTAGGAATTGGATCATTGCTATGGGGACAGGTAAAATAGAGAAATAAGCGTTAACGTTGCGACAATTATAACTGAAGGTTAAGATGATGATGAAAAGAGTTGTACTAGAGCAAGGGGCTGTGGTGCCTTTTCTTAGGAATTGGATTATGAATAAGAGGATGTTTTAAAAGTAGACAACAAAGTTAGTTATCATAAGAAATGAACTTGACTTTCATGTTTTCCAACTTAAGTGACTTACACACTGTTTTTGGTCTAGTATATTGCAAACCAGTATCGAGTCTTGGAGACCATTCCCACAAATTTTTGGATCGATCTATCTCCCTGGGGAGTCTCACTAAATTGCAATCAACTTAACCGGCTTAAATGTCTGTCACGCCTAGTAAAGCTGTTACGGGGTAATTATCTTTACCCTACCTGATTCAGTAGGCATGACAGACATTTAAGCCTCTTGAGCTGATAGCAATTTAGCGTGCACCCCAGGGAGTTGGGTCGTTCCAAATGGATAGATCTAAGTATGGGAACCCAGTCTTAAACAGCGGTTTAGTCAACCTTTTGGTTTTTAGAATGTAGACCTATTTTTCATTATAATATTAAATGTGGAATACCACCTGTAAAGAAAGCAATAGATGGTGAAAGTAAGGAAGATGTGAGAAAATGCTTACTGTTTACCTGTTTTAAAAAAGCACAATTAGATATTTATTTTTTTCTGCTGTTTGTATTCAGCTGATCACCACCCTTCCCACAGCCAAGCTTCCAAAGCGTCTCAGCCTGGGCAAGATGAAAGAGGCCGAGATCGTTGCCATGGAGTCGGAGGATGTGGTGGAGCGTCCAGTTGGTGCGCCAGCTGCCACATCTGGACACATCCTGTGGGTCAGAGGACTGACCAGGCTCCAGACTCAGGTATGGATGACCACTGGGTGACCATTTAACTGGCCTGGGGTGGGGAAGGGACACAGTGAACATTGTTTGGAAGAAGATTTGTTGAACTGTAGTTTTTGTCAATCTCTTTGAAGAGTTTCATGCTGCATAGGTTAGATTTCAGTTATTTGAGGGGGCAAAAAGTAGTCAAATCTGAGAAGCTAATTGGTTGCTGGTCTGTTTTCTGATTTTATATCTCAAACAAGTTGAACCAGCTTATAACATCCCTATGACCTAGAAAAAACTAATTGAAAAAAAATCACAAGATGGCACTCTAAGTACTATATCATCATCAAACTGAGGTGGGGAATTTATTCTGTGTCATTTTCTTCCAAGATTTTCTTCCAAACATTTTCACTCATGGTAAACTACATCACTTGTCAGCCAGAATAGCTGCATTCTACACATTTGACATACCATAGAAAGTAAGAAATGAATTTTAAAGTTCGAGTTAAAGGAAAAAAAGGGGGGGGGGCATTTGTATTCACCTTTGCAATAGTGCAGAAAGTAAAAAGATTCCATTGATTTTGGGGGGTGGAGAGGGGAGTAACTTACCAAATTACCCAGCCTGGAAAAGTTTTTGCATGTTGATAAGGGTTATTATTAGTGTTACAGTAGTGATTTAGACAAGAATGTAAGTTATTAACTTATCAAGCTGAACATAAAGTTCTGTGTCTAGTGGTAGCATGCAGGTGGTAGGCCAAATGGTGTGGTTATTATATGTTTCTGAATCTTTGCTTGTTAGATGATAAATATATGTTTTGATAAACTGTAACCTGGTGTTGATTGGAAGAATAGATTCTCTAGTTGATGTCAATTTTCTTGCTGGGTGTTCAATGGTTTAGAAATGTCATAGAGTAATTAAGCTTTAAAATTTTATGGTTTTTACATGTTCATCTGTATGTACTCTCTCTCTCTCTCTCTCTCTCTCTCTCTCTCTCTCTCTCTCTCTGATGGTCTCAGATTCATTTCAGGCAAAATCATTATCTTTCCCCTGCCTTCTTTTACTTTTACCATCTAAAAAATTTATCTTTTCTATCAGAGGCAGACCTAGTAATTTTGTATTCTTGACATTCTTTCTCCATCCAAATTTTGAAATTATGCCTTCCCTGTTTTAGTTTCATTTGTTATAAAGTAAACAATGAAACTCCCCTAAACTGATGTGCCCAAAACAATTTGATATTCCTCTTTTATCATTTCACTTGGTACTTTCAAAGTTTCTTTTATATTTTATCTGTAAATACCACAGTGCATTTGGAACATGAAAAACCAGTTTCCATTATGATTGAAATAGCAGTGATGAAAAAACTCCGAAAACTTGACTGCATGTCATAAATTTTGAGGAAACTGGTCCTTCAAATTGCATAAATGCACTGCAGTTTTGGTTTCTTAAACCTGATGTTTTGGTGTGGCTCTGTCAGTGTGATTCATTCTCTTCTTTAGTATTGATGTGGTGCAGGCTCTAAGTCAAATCTTCAATTTTCCTTTTTTTTGTTTTTTTTTCGTGTTCTTAGTTTTCAGAAGAAAGTGAAAATTCATCTTTTGAATATTTATTGGAGTTTTGGGTGGTTGTTTTTAGAGGGTTGTCCAACAAAATGGAGTGTAAAATAGACTCTTAAAGTAATGAGAACCAGACAGATGAGGCTGTTTCTCAGTTTTATCCTTTATCAAAAAATATAATTAATATATCTAAAAGCTAGTGTTAGGCGTTTCTTGGTATACTGAGAAGAGTGAATGAATTGTGTGCTTTTGTGTTTAATGTTGAAACTTTGTACTCATTTTCTTGTACATGTGTCACTGTAGATGTATGTATGTATATGTGTATGTATTGCTGACAACAATACACCATTTCAGTGATTCTTGAACAGTAGATTTAAGTATCATGTCTTCTTATTTGATCTAATTGGTGCATTTCCAAAGCTGCCTCTATATCTCAGACGTGTGTTCTTTATATATGTATATGAATCTGCCTTGGTACTGTGTTACCTGAGAACTATTTGTCATGGTGTTTTCATACCCTCAACCCACTGCGGTTCCATACTACAGTATCGTGTACACTGTATGCTCATTTTGCATGCATGGTGGATATGTGCATATACGAATGCTGTTGGTCATCAGATGATGATTATGATTTTGTGTGGTTGTTGAGATTTATTTGTCAAACCAACCTTGTGAGTTGTTCTGTTTTTCAGCTCCTAACTCTTAGTTGTTCCATGGGTCGTTCAGCATCCTTCACCTTGCCTTAACCTTGACCTATTTATGCCCTCCCCCTCTTCCCTGCAGGATTTCTCTCTCCTATCCTCTTGCTTGAATATTTCTTACCTCCTTTCTTTTTTTCCCAGCATTTGTTTTATATTTGCCTCTTTAGAGAGTGTTCCCTTAATGCATGAGTTGTCTTTATATTTTTTCGTTTGGCAGTTGCGAGTTGTTCGAGCCTTTAGGAGCACGCTGGAAGACCTGGAGGAGAAACGTAGTGTCCACAGTTTTCACAGTTTACGTAGCTTTCACAGCTCGCGTAGTCACCAGGGCCCAAGAGGGCTGTCAGACGAGGCGTACAGCCCATCAGATAAGAGCACAGACAAAAACGGAACTTTTTTGACAGCAGATGCTGCATACGAAAACATTATGGGTGCACTGAGTCGCTCAACAGAGAATGTCCCTCTGATGGACAAAAGCACCAGTGATCAAACAAAACCAGCAGCCAGTGCAAAATCCTCAAGTACCTCAGACCTCAATTCCAAATCCCACGAAACAACCATCTAGTTTTTAAAAAAAGGTAGCTATGTCAGCTGCTCTGTCTCTTTCTCTCTCTCCTGGGACAACCTGAACACAGGAAGTGCATGGGTGTGAGAGTACTAGAGACTAATACCAATACTAACCAATCTAATTCTCATCGTCATTGTATCCAATGACAGCATGTGGTACAGAAGGACAACATGGTTGACCTGAGAAGAGATCCTAGTAACTTCACCCTCTCTGCAAAATATCTCACAATTCTGCTATTATTTTGATAACAGTCTAATTACTTAACAAAAATTCTCAGTCAAATGTAGAAATCTGTTATTAGAAATTGTTGTCTCTTGTCTTTTTGTCATTTGTAATTCTCTCACTCTCTTTCTGTATTGTTCATTGTGGTACCTGTATAAAGTTGTATATAGATATTTATATATTACAAGTACTAGTAACTATGCTGTAACCAATTGTTAATGATATAATTCCTTCTTATACAGTATTTTTCTAAACAGTATATTTATTACATACCCTCAAGCTGTATTGCACAATACCGTTACTTTCATAATAATGTCTGGGACCTAGATGTAAAATATTTACTTTACCGAAACCATGACAACTCAGATTCCCCCATTTTAGTTTTCCTTCTGTTTACACAGCACTCTAATTTTAAAAATTCCTTTGATTCTACTAAATCCTAACATTGCTTTTTATGTGTTTGATTCCATTATTTAGATATTTATTCATTTATTTTGCTTGATTCTAGCTAATTGTTTGTATTGAATGACTGTTGAAAGCTTGCATATTGCTGCACTCTGATTGATTGGCCTTTGTGTTTTAGTGGGCTGTTTGTGCCTCGCTGGCATTGGAATGCACTAACCATTCACAGTCACTTGTCATGTATATTAACCAGGAATTTGTATTGCAGAACTTATTCAGAACTGAACCAGATGTATTGTAGTACTTTCTGAACTCAGTAGCAGTATTGAAAAGAATGCTTAGAATAGTGTTGAGCTTCAGTATAAACATAATTTGGAACTGGTTCAATGTTTTGTTTTTAGAAAAAGTCCAGTTTCGTTGAATAGTTCTTAAAATGTATGGTTACTGAAGCGAGAACTATTCAAATATACATTGGAAGATTCAAAACGTTATTTCAGTTGTCAGATTTGTTGGGATCCATGAAAATTGTAATAACACAGCTTATTTACACTCATCACAAGTTGAAAAATGAAAAATTATTTTAAAGGAATTTCTCTCACTGACAACTGAAATAACTGTTGTGAATTTGGTACAGAATGGTGAAGAAAAAACACATCACAACTTGTGATTCCCATGTTACTGGATGAGTTCTGCATATTGTGGCCAAATGGTGTAATCTCCTGCCTATAGTGTTGTCAGCACAATTATGAAGTAGACATTTTGTAAGCACCTTTAACATAGTGGTTTTTAACACAGCAATGTTACGGTACTGCAAATGTCATGGTAATGTCATGGTATTTGGCTGGAATGTTCCTAGCGTTATGGCGTTACTATTGGTACAGTCATACCATGGCATTGCTATTGATGCAGTCATGCTACAGTGTTGCTGTTGGCTAAGTCAGGCTGTGGCATTGCTGGCTTAGTCATGCTATAGCATTGCAATTGCTGCAGTCTTGTCATGACATTGTTGTTGGCTCAGTCATGCCATGATATTGCTGTTGGCTATGTTATGCCATGGTATTACTGCCAGCTCAGTCATGCCATGGCATTGCTGTTGGCTCAGTCATGCCATGGTATTACCGCCAGCACCAGCATGCAGTGGCATAGCTGGCATTCCATGCTGTTGTCTTCACACAGTGTCTTGCAGCATCTGATTCTGTTTTATTTTCTCTTTGATTTCAGATGCGTGTCGTCAACGCTTTCCGCGTTCCTGCCGACACTTCGCAACCTTCTATTCTGTTAAAACCAGCGTACCGGAAACAAACCTCGCGGTCAATGTCTGTAGATGGCCCTGGAGGGGCCACTTTCTCAAGTAACGTGAAAACAGCGCAGGGTGAAACCGCCTTATGAGGGCAGCCTCCTTGTGTAGAGTACAAGTGATAACTTATTAGATCCCCTTTAAATCTTAGTGCTGAGTTTTTACGGGGCTTTGTGAAAGAATTTGAAGTTTGCAAAAAACCCAAGCACAAAATTATTACTGAATTGCATCTGAATTTGATCATTTGAGTTTTAAATTGATTTTAGTTATTTGGTATGAGTCCCATACCTTTGTAAGTATTCACTGGTGTACATTGCCAGATACGTGGGACTGAGTGAATGAAACAATTAGCACTATTCAGTGTAAATATGTACCTGGGCTGTTGACTGCTTGAATTGAGACACAATTTAATTTATTAAAGAGGCCATTCTCGCAATGTTGTAGATTGCATGCAGTGAAACCCTGCTTCATTATTGATGTTGCTTTTTTTTCTTTCCTTCCTTATTTATAGCCCATATTTCTAAGAACCTGAGTTAAATGCTTGTACATTTGCAAGTCATTTTTGAATATTTTGTTTTCTGGTCATTGTCAGATTTAATGGCATTAGTTCTTTAGAAAGGAAAGTGTAGTCTTTTAAAATATTGAGAAGGTTAAGAATAATCCAGTGTTTTTTTTTTATTTGTGAACATATTAAGTTTTTTTTTTTTTTCAATTCTGATTTAAAAATGTGAGAATTAAAAATTTGATCAAATGTTGGTTCACACCATAGTAAATAATATTTGTATAGCTAAGGGTTGGTTGATATGAACTGTTTTAGTTAGCTAGAGTTGATGCAGTATTGAACCAGAGGGAAGGCCTCTTCTGCTCTTCCTTCTTATATTGATGCAAATGCCTATGCTAATACACCCTTGTTATTAAGACGATATAAACCAGGTGTAAGATAGGTTTGAAAAGTTTGAATGTTTGCTGTGTTTTTTTCCTCCATGCGTGCCGAGACCTCAGGAGGTTGGTCTTATACGTCTCTTTTTTTTTTTTATAACCCTGTTAAAAATGGAATTTGAATGTGTTTGTTGATCTTTCCTTTTTAAGAAGAAAATTACACCTCTCTACTTTCTCTCTCTCTTTCTGTCACAAGTAAAGTAAGGAAACATTTTACATCAGTCCCGAAGTTGTGCACCTATTACGGTGTGCAATTGTTATCTTATTGTAGCTAGCAGATGGTGGTTTCTTCTTGTAAATAATTGAGTGTTTTTATAAGCCAACTAAATATGTTAACATAACAAACCCATGTAATTAAAAAGTTGACATGTTTAATGTGTACAAAGAATAGGATGGGAAGGGGTTATGCAGGATTTGACCCCATTGTTATAAATGTCTGTCATTTTCGATTGTTTCATCTTAGTGATCTAGTTTGGAAACGTAAGTTATAAAAGAAAAGGGTTTTATTGATTTTCTGTTTGGTTTGTAGCAGTTAAACTCATCAATTTTTGTTTATCTTGAAACAATCATTTATTGGAAAAAAAAGCTTTGATAAAATGTTTGTCATGATTTTTAATTTATAGTTATTATTATTAGACTGTTGTCTAGAAAAAATGTTTAGAATTATCACATTCATATGAAAGTTGCACACACCACCTTTGCAAAACTCAATATTTACTTGAACAATACATTTCAAGTGCATTGAAATAATACTTATATAAAAATAAAGAGAACATTTTTTGCTCTGAAAGGTAACAACAGCCAAAAATAATTGCATGAGCACTGCTTTTCAAGAAACAGTTAAATCTTTAAGGAGTCAAATTTTCTTCTATTGGAAATCAGGGAAGGGAGGGGGAGTTTCAGTACAGCTTATGATTTTAGGATTTAATTTCCATTTCTTTTCACCTTTCCTGCATGTCCCCTTATGTCCATGCTGTTGCAGACATTGGTGTTCCTGTTACATTTTTTTCTATGGTAAATGTGTAATTGATATCCCTAGATATCTGGTATAAATAATATAGAATTAGTTTGAACTCGAAACATAAAATGAGAATAACTTGACAGATAAGGACACTCAGGTCCTTTATATTGGAGTGGAAAAAAGTAACATAAAGTAACGTAAGAGGAATTGTAGTATCAAAGAGGTCATATAGTTGGTTGTGGGTATTTGTAAAGTATATGCCATAGTTTGTAGGGCTACCATATCAGTTGGTTCATCTTGGACTCCAGTAGTACCCCTATTTTGAAGTTTTATACAAGTTCTACCTGTCTAGCTTTGTAAATACTACAGGGGATTTTAAACAAGTGTAGGACTTTTTGATCTTGGTGTAATAAATGAGTAATTTTTGTGTGATGTGTACACTTCTTTTTGTAATCTACACCAGACCTTCTTGTTAACATATTACAATGTTTATTATTATTATTATTACTTGATCGTTCAGTGTTTTATTGTTAGGAAAATCCACCAAAGGATTGTTGATTAGCAATGGTATTAAAGCTTTAGAGACTTTTCTTATCAGTTCATGTGAAGTGTGCATTATGTGAGTTAGGCCAAAGATAATAATCTTTTCATTTTAATGTGAAAATTATTTCTGCCCCTCATTCTTCTGCCAGGCATTTTACCAGTTACTAGCTTGTGTGTTGCACACTCACAAAATGGTGAGAAACATCTGTTTTGAAGACCAGTTCCTGCTTCATCTTGGTTTCACCCCCAAGTTTCAGAAGTCTTCGGAACATTGCACTCTATCAGCATATCCACCTGCAGTTTCCAAGTCACTATGAATTCTAGACACAAGGGTTTGGTATGCTGATAACCGAGGCGAGTATTCCATTACCTCTAAAAGAGGCATTGTCCAACTCAAATTTGCTTTATAAAAAAAAAATGAAATTAACATTTATAAGGGGTGGGGACTGGTCCCAAGGCACAGATGGTTTTCCAACTTCTTTACAATTTTTCCTTTAGAAGGTTCTAATTTGATAGTTTCTCCATTGTGGTTGAACCCTAGACTTGAAGTAGAAATAATTGTAAGCTGGTTTACTTATAGGAAAGAATAAAAACAATCCAGCATTTTTACAAGTGAAGAAAAGCACCAGTGGATTTCAGTCCCGTTTTGGGTTTTGCTTGCATAACTTTTTATAAAAGTTTGTTCCAGATGTGTAGCTCAGGTCAAAATGTGGACTAGAACATTGGTATTATTACTATGACATGTTGAATGTACACCACATCAAATAGTGTAATAAATGAATTTTTAAAAACAGATCATTTTCTTTTTATTTTGTTCATTCAACTTGTACAAAGAAGATATATCAATCATAACATGACCCTCTGATGGAAGAAATGCATACCCAAGAAGTTCATAGAATCATTACTAATACAAGCAGCAAATTAAACTAAGCAGCAAATTCATTTTTGAAGTTATCTACTCTTGCTTTCACTGGTCTTGTATCATTTTTAACTGAAGTTTACACCATCAGACTAACAGGACGTCAGATAATCTCCAAAGTAAAATATCTAACCCAGATCTTACAAAATTGCAGCAATTGGTTCTTGCAGACATCCATCATTGCATGAAATTTCATTTAGTTTAAAATTGCACCTCAAGACACTTAGAAATTACTTTTAAGGGAATACTGCATGTTGATCAATCTAATTTTAATTTCCATAGGACTGTTCATGGCATTTGGGTGGAAAATAACACAGAAATGGAACTTAATTTTCTGAGCTCCTCCTGATCAACAATGTTCTGTTACTAACTGCCTACTACACTATCAAGTTACAGTATACATACAAACCAAGTTTAGGATAGTATGGATCTGATTGCATCCTTGAAAACAAAATTTTGAGCAGCGATGGCCTGTCATTTATTTGAAAGACCCCGACATGCCTCTGAAATATAAGTACAAAGTTGTTTTAGAAGAAAAAGGAGGCTTACTCCCACTCACTGCCTCCTTTATTGTACAGAAAGAAAAAATAAACTGTTCTGTTTCTATTCATTAGCAGTTCTAACAAATGATTTCATTACAAAACATCATGAACATGTCAAAGGCACTAACTACTAACAATTCCAATTCATCATTGCACCAAGTGTTTCACATCCTCAAATACGAGAAGTCCCCTCAACCTGTGCCAAGCTTTAGTTTCAAAAATGACAAAATAATTATTCTCTCTCTCTCTTCTCACCCCTCCTCCATTTCTTAGCTAGTTTAAGTCAAAAGCAAACAAATATTTTACTGATGCAAATTTTGCATAACACAGGTTCTTAAATTGAATTAAGAACCAATTCTAGATCAATATATCATGGCCTTTGAGTATATGTAATGGGTTTTTATAGCGATTTCAATCAATTTAACAATCAATATTTTGGATGAACATGACATTTATCTCAAGTCAATTATTATTATTATTTTTTTTTAATTTTGCAACTTTCACAAACTTCTGCTGCAGGTCTCCACCAGTTTTTGCATCTTGGTTCAAATTCCTTTGCTTTAAAATACACCAGACTTTTTAAGTCAGGGTAATTTTATTTCTCATCAAGAAAATGGGCTGCACCGTAAGGATAGCTTCTGTTTTATCAGTAATAATTGCCAGTCCCCTCAGTAACAAATATTATTTTTAAATAATGCATGATCGTATTCACCTTTTCTCTCCAAATTTAGTTAATACTTCAACTTATACCTCCACATTTCACAACATCATCAAATCAAAACTTGAGTGAAATTTTTTTCTTGGATGTTCAGTTTATCAACCAATCAACCCATAAAATAGGATTATAATGAGTTGCAAGTTTTACAACAACTGTTGTGTTGAAATGTGAATCAAACAAAATGCATATGGAAAGTTTCATGCTGTTAATCTTCCACAGTGTACCCTCATTTGCTTCAGGCTTGTCAAGGACAGGGCAATTACACAAGGCATTTAACACTATGGTCATATCAAATGGTGTACTTGTATAAATTGCTTGGTAAATAAGTTGTCTTCTTTATCTCGTGCAGTAACTCATAATTCCTCACTGCCGAAATAGCTTCAAAATTCTGCCTTCCTCACATTTCCCGGTCAACTTGGTCCGATCCAAGCAAACCATTTAATAGTGTGTAAATGCGGCATAAAATCCCTCAGATTTCAAACAGGACATTTGTCCTCACTATCATTTTGTCATTGTTTTCTCAAATGTTGCGGAGCATCAGCAAACATGTATTTGAGTTTATAGGCCTCTGCAAGTAGCAGTCCAATGTCTTGGTTTTGCCAGTGATGGGTGGGCAAATTCTGAAGAAACATCATTATACCCTGAAAAAGCAAAGGTGGACCACTGTTGATTATTTGTTTGTTTACAAGACTTCATATTTGAGATAATATTTAAGCTGCTACAAATACAACACCTTAGAGAGAAAAGAGGAAGAGATGGATGGAAGGGGTGTTTAGCCCTTTCATACATCATATAACTGTGCTCACCTGAAAATCTTTTTCACTTTTGATTTCCTGGGAGAACCTGCATATGAGTGCTGCACACACATACAAGTGGAAGGCAGAAAATCCTTCTGGCTCAGCCTGGGAACATAGAATACATGATAAATGAAACCATTTGTTTATTGAAAATGCAGTTTCCAGTTTCTCGTGAAATTGTCCAACACAGAATACATGGCATTCATCTGAGGAGTCTCGATAAATACTGATTCATGCAAATAGTCCTGTTATAAACAGAAGCCAATTGTTTTCTTTTGTGACAGAAGCATGAAAGCTCATAACCCAAATATTTATATATATATTTTTTTTATAATAATTAATACTATATTAACACATGTACCAGCAGGTGCTGACCCCAGGTGACATTTTTTTTCCAAAATGGCCATCAAAAACATATCTGGAGATACTAAATATGAACTGTGCTGTCTAACATGAATTTGGTGTTTCACAGTTCCAGCCATTTCAAATGGTCAAATTTTAATTCAATATATCACATAGACAAAATCATTTACATTACTTACTTTAAATGGTGTCTTAATTTGTGACATTCATAAATTTCCTATTCCACAATAACACACTGCAGATTATTTTAATCTAACCAATGACTACTATAATAACAGTAATAAACAGTAAGACTTATTCCCAGGAAAATAAATGCAATGTTACCCACTCACCAGATATGTGTCCCACAGTCGTATAATACAGCGGAGTGGCATCTCCCTCATCAGAAGATTGTTCATCCAGCGAAATGCAAACTGCAGGTATTCCACATGGTTGTTCATTAAGTGAGCATGCAGGGGAGCTGGAATTGAGGTGGAAAGAAATGTTTATGTCGATTTTATTTTATTTTGAGCAGAGGATCTAAGATCAAAGTGGAAAGAAATATTAATGTCAACATAAATATAATCTTCATCTTTGAGAAAAATACTTAATAATATAACTTTCCACAAGAGAAGTCAGCTCTAAGAGATATTTCTACTATGCTTGTAAATAGCAATAGATTAACAGGTTTTTGCTTTATTTTCATTTAAGTCTCTCACAGCAAAACTTGTAATAATATGTCAGAGATATGATTCACTTTATGGCATCACTGTACATATCAATTGCAGCATCATTTTAAGTAAGTCACACACTGAAATAAACACGAAGATCTATTTAACAGTGACATTTAAAATAAGAAGAGCCACCAATCCTTTTTAAGAAAAAGCCATTTTACCATCTATCCTCTTAATCAGCTCCTGTAATCTGTTCACTTTGAGTTGTATTCCTGGCTGGGCAAAGGTGTAACAGTCCTGGATGCCATCTAACAGCTTGGACATACACCAGAAACTGTCTGCCTCAATCTCCTCCAGTTTCTCCTTTGGCAACTCATTCAAATCTGCATTCTCTGTTTCTATATCTGAAGTCACAGGAGGATTAAGGATCATTTCAAAAGGTATTTGGAAAGATAAGTAGCTTTGAAGGATGTGAAGACAGAAATATGGCTCACAGAACATTTTCAAACGGAGAAAGTAAAATGCTATTAAATTTCTTATTTATGCCAAAACTGACAAAAAGTGGCCTTTTTTCAATTTCATTTTTTATATTCTGTGTGTTACCCCAATACTCACCATTCTCTATCCATTCTGTTAGAAATACCACAAAGAAGGGGGTTACCAGATCATTCATTCCTTGCACATAGCCACTAGCTGGGTGCCTGATAGCCCAGATAAATAACACACGCTCAAATATCTGGAACAAACAAAAACATCATCTATCATAACAATAACAGTAACAGCGTCATTTTTCATGTTGAAAGAATGCCAAGTTTAAATTATAAAAATAAAATTATACTGCACAGACATGGCAACCTTGTTACTTTTCATGAAAGTTGTGTCCTAAATAAGTGAATATTGTTCTTATGTTTGGAAAATTTCAGACTAAATTTTAAACTATTACAAGGTCCACAGAGGTTAACTCAAGGTTATGATAAAAATGTAAAAAATATATATTAAGATTTTTTCTTAGTCTTATGACAACAAAATAAAGCTACTTAACGCATGTTTAAAGATATCAAGAAAGATAATCAAAAGCAAGAGGAATCGGAAACAAACATTTGTGGTAAGAAAAAGAGCTGGAAAGGTAAACTCAAGTTTTAAGGTTAAAAATTAATTCAAAATCAAAATAAAGTATTATGGAGATATTCAATAATATTTCTACAGATTGCAATCCCAAGTAAGGCATCCACAAGATAGTTCCATGGAATAAGTTTTAATTCTCTTTGGAACATTTTTTTTAATCTATTTATATATAGTTTTTCCCATGTGATTTTAATTTTAATTAAAATATCTCTTTTGTAATAGTTAGAAAGTGTTCAACACCAATTACCAGTGATAAAGAAGAAATGGATTTTCTAAAACCAAATATCCCAAGTTTACTTTCCAGCACAAATTTTTCAGCTTTTCCAGAAGAGTTGAGGGATCCCTAATATTTAGGCTTATTGTCATTTGATCAAGTAAAAAAAATTAAATTTGTTATCAATTTTGACAAAACATCATTCAGTAAAGATGCTGCTGAAAGCAAACCTTCTTCCCAAAAAACTATCAGCAACTGCTCTTATAAAGAGCAAAATTAAGGACACTCCAGCTTTTGAAAACTGAAGCGAGTAAAATCTACAGTGCTGCCACCTACAACTGAAAGTCTTGAATGCGAAATGGTCCCTAATTTCCCAAAATGTTTTAATGTGTATATACACATCCCACCACATACCCACCTCCTGTACAGTCTTTTCCCGGGTCAATTCTAAAACGTTGACCATCCTGTTACAATCTTTTTGTATCTAAAGAAATAAGGAAGGATACAACAGTCATGCTTCACAACAAAATCTCCACCAGTACGGCTGCTTCACAAAACTGCTAAGTTAAAAAAGTTTTGGCAAAGACTGCTAAGAATAAAAATGCTGCTTTCCATTTCCCCCCTTTAACTCCAAGAGTTAATCCTGTTGTGTTTTGGCCTTGATTTTTTCCAGTAATCCAAACTACATCGGCATTTGGTAAAATGCACAAAGACCAAATTTGTTTTATAGTCATCTTTCCATAGTCAGCTATCCAAGTTTAGCAGTCTAAGCTAAGCCCCCAAACTTAACAGACTTTTTGTGAAACAGCCCCCTGCTTTGGTAGCATCACCAACACAGTGGCAGAGCTGTGCTGGCTGAAATAACCCTAGATGGCACCACTGTTTCTGCAGAAGCCATTTTGGGAGCAGGATCATGGGAGAAAACAGTTGGTGTAATACAAGGTTATTTCATTTTCGGCCACTTGTTGATGATCTGTTCCCAAAAATACATCCAAAGTTCAAGACAGCATCAAAAAAATAAAACTTTATCAATTTTGCTAAATCCAATTCTGGTCATGCCAAACCTCCAAAAAAACAATGGTTTCTAAATATAATGCCATCATGTTTTCCATTGGATGATTCTTGGCAGGTCCAGATACATCACATATAGCCTAGAATCTATTCTACTGCCAGTGGTTCCTTCAGGTACTTTCCTGTTCCCCTTACCTCTTGCACTACTGTCTGTTGAAACAGGGGTATTAAAGGATTCATCCGAGGGATGTCTATATGGATCTGTGGACAGAAAGAGGGCGAAAACGCACTGCGCTACTCATTGCAGATAATACAAATCAGTATTTAGAATACACAGTAGGCCCAGTGAATCATGAAACATATTGGGCAAATACTGAAATCAAACCAGCTAGGATTCAAATGTGAAATCAGATTTCAATAAATCACCCAAAGAGTTTCAATAAATTGAGACATGATGTAGTAATTTCTATAGATCACTGTGTACATTTAACATAAACGATTAAAAAAATGTCTTTCTAATCAACTGGCTTTAATCAAAATTTGTGTAAATGCGAGCTTAATAAGAAGTCCTTCAATTTCCTTATCCTTATCTTACTGCCAGAATATTTTAGGTAATAAGAACAGATTAAATTTTTACACCCTTCCAGATCTTCCTACCACTGATGCCAGTGAGACCTATCAAAGCATATGCTTATACTTACCCAAAACCACTCAATTGTTGCTAGGAAATTGCTACTTAAAACAGAACTTAAAATTATTGCTAGGAAATTGCTACTTAAAACAGAACTTAAAATAGTTCCCTAGTAAATAATTTTCTATGATCAGCAATCAATAATAAAGAAAAAAATTTCAAATACTGATCCATTACATTGCACTTCAACATAAATATCTCTCTCCTGTGCAAATATGATTAAAATCTACTAATAGTAGATAAATTTAACTGAATTATATTTAAGTGCAAATCATCCATTCTAGAAATCCCATAATAAAGCTACCTACAACTGCTACATATGTTGTAACAGAACTCGGGAGTGCAACCAATATAATACACAATATAACAAATTAAGATTTCTACATGAAAAATAAAATCAACCATACCCAACAATCCTAAAACCACCATTTGGCAGACTTGATGAGGATTCAATCAAACCAACTGAAAATTTATAATACTAATCTGCTTATCAACTGTGTCTAACTCCATAAACAGGAGCTTAACTGCTATGTTAACCTAAAGACAATTTAATTCTTCATGACCTTGACACATTGTGACCTTGACCTTTCTACTCACCTGCCTAAATGTGTTCGCGTGTGGCTCTGAGTGCCGTGTGTCAAAATATTGCTCTATAAAGCCAAAGTATTCTTTTCTCTTCCTCTGTAATGTGGGATCCCTTCTGTCTATACTGCCTGGGAGATAACCCTGGGAATGACATATTAAAATATGTGGAGATTCAGTCTTTTTATGATAATTTTGATGGTGAAATTACTAAATGAATTTTTCCCCCACATTTTGTAAACTTTTGTTTCTCTCTTTCTTTTTTTTTTTTTTTTTTTTGGAGAAGGGCAAATTTTGCAAATGAGGAGACCCGAAAGAGAAAAAAATTTGATTTACATCTGCCGAAAAAAGACAAATTGCGACTTATTTCATGACTTAAAGGGATAATAACTCTTCATTTCGGCCAAAAAATTAATTTTCCTGGAGTAAACAACAATTTTCCCATACTAACCAATGGTTAATGAATCCATTTTTACATTCNTGGGTGGAAGGGGTGTTTAGCCCTTTCATACATCATATAACTGTGCTCACCTGAAAATCTTTTTCACTTTTGATTTCCTGGGAGAACCTACATATGAGTGCTGCACATACATACAAGTGGAAGGCAGAGAATCCTTCTGGCTCAGCCTGGGAACATAGAATACATGATAAATGAAACCATTTGTTTATTGAAAATGCAGTTTCCAGTTTCTCATGAAATTGTCCAACACAGAATACATGGGATTCATCTGAGGAATCTCAATAAATACTGATTCATGCAAATAGTCCTGTTATAAATAGAGGCCAATTGTTCTCTTTTGTGACAGCAGAATGAAAGCTAATAACCCAAATATTAATATATTTTTTTATAATAATTAATACTATATTAACACATGGAACAAGCAGGTGCTGACCCCAGGTGACATTTTTTTCCAAAATGACCATCAAAAACATATGTTGAGATACAAAATATGAACTGTGCTGTCTAATATGAATTTGGTGTTTCAAGGTTCTAGCCATTTCAAATGGTCAAATTTTAATTCAACATATCTCATAGTCAAGATCATTTACATTACTTCACTCTAAATGGTGTCTGAAGTTGTGACATTCATAAATTTCCCATTCCACAATAACACACTGCAGATAATTTTAATCTAACCAATGACAACTATTACAGTAATAAACAATAAGACTTATTTCCAGGAAAATAAATGCAATGTTACCAACTCACCAGATAAGTATCCCACAGGCGTATAATACAGCGGAGTGGCATCTCCCTCATCAGAAGATTGTTCATCCAGCGAAATGCAAACTGCAGGTATTCCACATGGTTGTTCATTAAGTGAGCATGCAGGGGAGCTGGAATTGAGGTGGAAAGAAATGTTTATGTCAACATTAATATAATCTTTATCTTTGAGAAAAATACTTTTAAATGATATAACTTTCCACAAGAGAAGTCATCTCAAAAGATACACTTGGGATCTGTATAAAAGCCAAATATAAGAGACATTTCTACTATGCTTGTAAACAGCAATAGATTAAGGGTTTTTTGCTTTCTTTTCATTTAAGCCTCTCACAGCAAAACTTGCAATAATATGTCAGAGATATGATTCACTTTATGGCATCACTGTACATATCAATTGCAGCATCATTTTTAGTAAGTCACACACTGAAATAAACACGAAGATCTATTTAACAGTGACATTTAAAATAAGAAGAGCCACCAGTCCTCTTTAAGAACAAGCCATCATACCATCTATCCTCTTAATCAGCTCCTGTAATCTGTTCACTTTGAGTTGTATTCCTGGCTGGGCAAAGGTGTAGCAGTCCTGGATGCCATCTAACAGCTTGGACATACACCAGAAACTGTCTGCCTCAATCTCCTCCAGTTTCTCCTTTGGCAACTCATTCAAATCTGCATTCTCTGTTTCTATATCTGAAGTCACAGGAGGATACAGGATCATTTCAAAAGGTTATTGGAAAGATAAGTAGCTTTGCATGAGGTGAAGACAGAGAAATATGACTCCGAGAACATTTTCAAACAAAAAAGTACAATATTTTTAATTTTCTTACTTATGCCAAATCTGACAAAAAAGTGGCCTTTTTTTTCAATTTCATTTTTTACATACTGTGTGTTACCCCAATACTCACCATTCTCTATCCATTCTGTTAGAAATACAACAAAGAAGGGGGTTACCAGATCATTCATTCCTTGCACATAGCCACTAGCTGGATGCCTGATAGCCCAGATAAATAACACACGCTCAAATATCTGGAACAAACAAAAACATCATCTATCATAACAATGACAGTAATAACGTCATTTTTCATGTTGAAAGAATGCCAAGTTTAAATTATAAAAATAAAATTATACTGCATAGACATGGCAACCTTGTTACTTTTCATGAAAGTTGAGTCCTAAATAAGTGAATATTGTTCTTATGTTTGGAAAGTTTCAGACTAAATTTTTAACTATTACAAGGTCCACAGAGGTTAACTCAAGGTTATGATAAATATAAAAAAAATATATAATAAGGTTTCTTCTTAGTCTTATGACAACAAAATAAAGCTACTTAACGCATGTTTAAAGATATCAAGAAAGATAATCAAAAGCAAGAGGAATCGGGGAAACAAACATTTGTGGTAAGAAAAAGAGCTGCGAAGGTAAACTCAAGTTTTAAGGTTGAAAATTAATTCAAGAGCAAATTCAAGTATTATGGAGTTATTCAATAATATTTCTACAAATTACAATCCCAAGTAGGGCATCCACAAGATAGTTCCATGGAATAAGTTTTAATTCTCTTTGGAACATTTTTTAAAAATCTATTTATATATATAGTTTTTCCCATGTGATTAATATCTCTTTTGCAACAGTTAGAAAGTGTTCAACACCAATTACCAGTGATAAAGAAGAAATGGATTTTCTAAAACCAAATATCCCAAGTTTACTTTCCAGCACAAATTTTTCAGCTTTTCCAGAAGAGTTGAGGGATCCCTAATATTTAGGCTTACTGTCATTTGATTAAGTAAAAAAAAAATTAAATTTGTTATCAATTTTGAAAAAACATCATTCAGTAAAGATGCTGCTGAAAGCAAACATTCTTCCCAAAAAACTATCAGCAACTGCTCTCATTAAGAGCAAAATTAAGAACACTCCAGCTTTTGAAAACTGAAGTGAGTAAAATCTACAGTGCTGCCACCTACAACTGAAAGTCTTGAATGTGAAATGGTCCCTAATTTCCCAAAATGTTTTAATGTGTATATACACATCCCACCACATACCCACCTCCTGTACAGTCTTTTCCCGGGTCAATTCTAAAACGTTGACCATCCTGTTACTATCTTTTTGTATCTAAAGAAATAAGGAAGGATACAACAGTCATGCTTCACAACAAAATCTCCACCAGTAGGGCTGTTTCACAAAACTGCGAAGTTAAAAACAGTTTTGGCAAAGACTGCTAAGAATAAAAATGCTGCTTTCCATTCCCCCCCCCCCCTTTAACTCCAAAAGTTAATCCTGTTGAGTTTTGCCTTGATTTTTTCCAGTAATCCAAACTACATCGGCATTTGGTAAAATGCACAAAGACCAAATTTGTTTTTTATCATCTTTCCATAGTCAGCTATCCAAGTTTAGCAGTCTAAGCTAAGTCCCCAAACTTAACAGACTTTTTGTGAAACAGGCCTCTGCTTTGGTAGCATCACCAACACAGTGGCAGAGCTGTGCTGGCTGAAATAACCCTAGATGGCACAACTGTTTCTGCAGAAGCCATTTTGGGAGCAGGATCATGGGAGAAAACAGTTGGTGTAATACAAGGTTATTTCATTTTTGGCCACTTGTTGATGATCTGTTCCCAAAAATACATCCAAAGGTCAAGACAGCATCCAAAATACACTTTATCAATTTTGCTAAATCCAATTCTGGTCATGCCAAACCTCCAAAAAAACAATGGTTTCTAAATATAATGCCATCATGTTTTCCATTAGATGATTCTTGGCAGGTCCAGATACATCACATATAGCCTAGAATCTATTCTACTGCCAGTGGTTCCTTTAGGTACTTTCCTGTTCCCCTTACCTCTTGCACTACTGTCTGTTGAAACAGGGGTATTAAAGGATTCATCCGAGGGATGTCTATATGGATCTGTGGACAGAAAGAGGGCAAAAACGCATTGCGCTACTCATTGCAGATAACACAAATCAGTTTATTTAGAATACACAGTGGGCCCAGTGAATCATGAAACACTGAAATCAAACCAGCTAGGATTCAAATGTGAAATCAGATTTCAACCCAAAGGGTTTCAATAAATCGAAACATAATGTAGCAATTTCTATAGATTACTGTGAACTTTTAATTAACTTTTTACACCCTTCCAGATCTTCCTACCACTGATGCCAGTGAGACCTATCAAAGCATACGCTAATACTTACCCAAAACACTCAATTGTTGCTAGGAAATTGCAAACTTAAAATTGTTCCTTAATAAATAATTTTCTATGATTAACAATCAATAATAAAGAAAGCATTTCAAAACTTCATAACATTGAACTTCAGCATAAATATCTCTCTCCTGTGCGAATATGATTAAAATCTAATAGGTAAATTTAAATGAATTTAAATGAATTATATTTAAGTGCAAATCATCCATTCTAGAAATCCCATATTGAAGCTACCTACAGCTGCTACACGTTGTAACAGAACTCGGGAGTGCAACCAATATAATACACAATATAACAAGTTAAGATTTCTACATGAAAAATAAAATCAACCATACCAAACAATCCTAAAACCACCATTTGGCAGACTTGATGAGGATTCAATCAAACCAACTGAAAATTTATAATACTAATCTGCTTATCAACTGTGTCTAACTCCATAAACAGGAGCTTAACTGCTATGTTAACCTAAAGACAATTCAATTCTTCATGACCTTGACCCATTGTGACCTTGACCTTTATACTCACCTGCCTAAATGTGTTCGCGTGTGGCTCTGAGTGCCGTGTGTCAAAATATTGCTCTATAAAGCCAAAGTATTCTTTTCTTTTCCTCTGTAATGTGGGATCCCTTCTGTCTATACTGCCTGGGAGATAACCCTGGAAATGAAATATTAAAATATGTGTAGATTCAGTCTTTTTATCATAATTTTGATGGTGAAATTACTTAATGAATTTTCCCCTACATTTTGTAAACTTTTGTTTCTCTCTCTCTCTCTTTTTTTTTTTTTTTTTTTTTTTGGGGGGGGGGGGGAAAATTTTGCAAATGAGGAGATCCAAAAGAGAAAAAAAATTGATTTACATCTGCTGAAAAAAGACAAGTTACAACTTATTTCATGACTTAAGTTAAGAACATTTTTAAGGCTTAAAATACGAAACCCAAAAGCAAAATTGAAATGCTTCACCAGATTAATACTTTCACTTACAGATAAAATTTTCCAAGTGACTGGTCTCACAGCTTTAGGAATGCCAGACCAGCTCAATTTTGCTAGCTCATCTGAAAAATTAAAGAACCAAAATGAGCATTTCTCAAACTTGTTTTCTTGTCACCTGTCATTACAGACAAGAGTCTGATATCCTCATATATAAAGAAAAGCTTTGAGCTAAACTTATGTAAAATACACATTTATTCATTTATAAATAAAGCTGATAACTTTGGTATGTCTCACTAAATATATGTAAACTTTGGCTCATATGGACTTCCTGATAAAAAATTCAACAGAACTATTGCAAGTTGAATGAAAAGTTGTAAGATATTTCTTATTTCTTGATAAATCACTTTTTCTGTCGTTGGGGCATGTTTTGGCACAAAACAACGCTCTTTGGTATAGATGGCATTTTTAAGGGCACCCTATAGTAGTACATTAACAGCAATTCTTAAACAGATCATTCCAACCATTACCTAAATTCATGTTAGGAGTTGACAACACAGACTGGAACTTGTCCAGCTTACTGGCCTCCCTGTCTGGCACAGGCATTTGGGCAAGACGGACATGTGTCTTGGGGACATCATTCCTGGTATGCTGTGCCAGCCGTACTCCAATCCCGGGCCCTGTGTGAGCATGGTGGTGCTGCTGAGAGCGTGGGGGACTGGATCCTGGAGTATAACATACACTGACATTGAACAGTTTTATAGAACAGGGGATGCTGTACTAGAATGGACTTGGGAAGTATTCTTTTTTTCAATCAATCAATTTCATTTTCTTTACTGAACTTATCATATAGCTGCTGGTCATATATTTTGTAAATTTCACAATTTTGCAAAACAAAGAATTAGAATGAAAATTGACAGATGTCTTATACAAATGAAGCATGCATTGAGGCGTAAACATACTTACACGCATGCAGAACCGTCAAACAAACTCACATGTTTGCAAACTCAGACACACATACACACACACAATCTCTCTCTCTCTCTTACTCTCTCTCATACAAACATGCACACACATGCACTTAAACACGTGCTTAAACAACCACATGCACTCACTGCACACCTGTAATTAAAAGAGCAATCACACATCAATCCAACCATACACACGTGTGCACACACACACATGCACACACACACACACACACACACACACAGACTTACCTGCTGTCCCCCCTCCCCTGTTAGAAGCACCATTGGTAGGCAGCCTGTGCTGAGACTGGCTGTGATTGTGAAGGACTGTTAGGGCAGTGGATTCCACATCTTTCATAGATAACTGCACATTGGCCATTGTGACTAGGTCATCATCGCCATCGTCCCAGGCATCACTGGTTTTGTTTTCATAATCTCGGAAGGAGTCATTTGACTTCGATCCTTTCTTTGTGGGTGTGGTTGGCATGCTGTGTATAACAAGTATAACAACATACATTATAGGTGTGTACCAGTAAACATGTGGAAAGGATTCATCAGCAATGTACTGTAATTTCAATAGAGAGGTAGAAGTTCTTTTTGGCTAAAGTTTCAGTTTATATCTCACTATATTGACAAAAAAACTTCTTCTTTTCTATATACATAGCAGTAGCTTATATGATATATTAGATATTTAGACAAATCAAATATTGCTGTTTTAACAGTTATAGACTAGCAAAATTTCTGCAGTACACACACGTAATACTGAGTGTTTGGCAAAAGGTCCAAATTCTAGCATGAGCTTAGGCATAACTTAGATTAGTGTAAATATAGATATTGCAGAACAACTGTTTTATCTTGACACCCCAGGGCTAGTTCTGTACCTCACCTTGCTGGTTTACTTTGCATAGGTGGATGCTGCGCTCCATATACTGGCTTGATGCTAAAATGAAACAACCACAAATATATATAAATAAATAAGTTCCACAAACCATTCTAGACAAAAGTTCCAACAAAAACATAATAAACCATTGCATCTCCATGGTATTATCATGTACAATCTGCAAACAGTAAATATAATCACTAAGTTTCAAAGATAGATAAAATTTTCACAGTTTCTGAAATACTTTTTGCATCTTACTCTTCACCTACAGTATAAACAAGCATCAAAACTCAGGGACAAAATAAATAATTAACAGAAATGGCGCCATTCTTACTTGAAAAAAATATAACCTTAGGCCACACTTTTTTANACAATAAGTCCCTGGTTTTTTTCTAAAAAGTTTGGTTTTTTGTTAAAATCTCTATGACAGAGTATAGCCATCAATGGAGGTCACGTGGTCTAAAGACAAGCTCAGATATCAGAATAATAGCTATAACTGCTGTTTTTGTGGTAAAACAGAATATATTATATTTCTGTGAGTTATTCACAATGTTTTTATTGTAAAATATAGATCTCATACAAAGAGTTATTATCCCTTTAAGTTAAGAACATTTTTAAGGCTTAAAATATGAAACCCAAAGGCAAAACTGAAATGCTTCACCAGATTAATACTTTCACTTACAGATAAAATTTTCCAAGTGACTGGTCTCACAGCTTTAGGAATGCCAGACCAGCTCAATTTTGCTAGCTCATCTGAAAAATTAAAGAACTAAAATGAGCATTTCTCAAACTTGTTTTCTTGTCACCTGTCATTTCAGACAAGAGTCTGATATCCTCATATATAAAGAAAAGCTTTGAGCTAAACTTATGTAAAATACACATTTATTCATTTATAAATAAAACTGATAACTTTGGTAGGTCTCACTAAACATATGTAAACTTTGGCTCATATGGACTTCCTGATAAAAAATTCAACAGAACTATTGCAAGTTGAATGAAAAGTTGTAAGATATTTCTCATTTCTTGATAAAGCACTTTTTCTGTCATTGGGGCAAGTTTTGGCACAAAACAACGCTCTTTGGTATAGATGGCAATTTTAAGGACACCCTATAGTAGTACATTAACAGCAATTCTTAAACATATCATTCCAACCATTACCTAAATTCATGTTAGGAGTTGACAACACAGACTGGAACTTGTCCAGCTTACTGGCCTCCCTGTCTGGCACAGGCATTTGGGCAAGACGGACATGTGTCTTGGGGACATCATTCCTGGTATGCTGTGCCAGCCGTACTCCAATGCCGGGCCCTGTGTGAGCATGGTGGTGCTGCTGAGAGCGTGGGGGACTGGATCCTGGAGTATAACATACACTGACATTGAACAATTTTATAGAACAGGGGATGCTGTAATAGAATGGACTTGGGAAGTATTCTTTTTTTTCAATCAGTCAATTTCATTTTCTTTACTGAATTTATCATTTAGTTGCTGGTCATGTATTTTAAAAATTTCACAATTTTGCAAAACAAAGAATTAGAATGAAAATTGACAGATGTCTTATCCAAATGAAGCATGCATTGAGGCGTCAACATACTTACACGCATGCAGAACCGTCAAGCAAACACACACACACACACACACACACACACACACACACACATTCTCTCTCTCTCTCTCTCTTTCTTATATAAACATGCACACACATGCACTTAAACACGTGCTTAAACAACCACATGCACTCACTGCATACCTGTAATTAAAAGAGCAATCACACATCAATCCAACCATACACACGTGCACACACACACATGCACACACACACACACACACACACACACACAGACTTACCTGCTGTCCCCCCTCCCCTGTTAGAAGCACCATTTGTAGGCAGCCTGTGCTGAGACTGGCTGTGATTGTGAAGGACTGTTAGGGCAGTGGATTCCACATCTTTCATAGATAGCTGCACATTGGCCATTGTGACTAGGTCATCATCGCCATCGTCCCAGGCATCACTGGTTTTATTTTCATAATCTCGGAAGGAGTCATTTGACTTCGAACCTTTCTTTGTGGGTGTGGTTGGCATGCTGTGTATAACAAGTATAACAACATACATTATAGGTGTGTACCAGTAAACATGTGGAAAGGATTCATCGGCAATGTACTGTAATTTCAATAGAGAGGTAGAAGTTCTTTTTGGCTAAAGTTTCAGTTTATTTCTCACTATATTGACAAAAAAAACTTCTTTTCTATATACATAGCAGTAGCTTATATGATATATTAGATATTTAGACAAATCAAATATTGCTGTCTTAACAGTTATAGACTAGCAAAATTTCTGCAATACACACACGTAATACTGAGTGTTTGGCAAAAGGTCCAAATTCTAGCATGAGCTTAGGCATAACTTAGACTAGTGTAAATATAGATATTGCAGAACAACTGTTTTATCTTGACACCCCAGGGCTAGTTCTGTACCTCACCTTGCTGGTTTACTTTGCATAGGTGGATGCTGTGCTCCATATACTGGCTTGATGCTAAAATGAAACAACCACAAATATATATAAATAAATAAGTTCCACAAACCATTCTAGACAAAAGTCCCAACAAAAAACCTAATAAAGCATTGCATCTCCATGGTATTATCATGTACAATCTGCAAACACTAAATATGATAACTAAGTTTCAAAGACAGTTAAAATTTTCACTGTTTCTGAAATACTTTTTGCATCTTACTCTTCACCTATAAACAAGCATCAAAACTCAGGGACAAAATAAATAATTAACAGAAATGGCGCCATTCTTACTTGAAAAAAATATAACCTTACTATATCTTCTGCAACACCACAACACACACAATTAAGTTATCAATTCAAATTATATCATGACTCGGGGAAAATCCCTTCCAATTTTATTACCTCTGTTTCCCCCAAGTCTCAACTCGTGTAATAAAACGGATTCGTGACGTCAAGAAAAACGGGCCTCTATTCAAATTTCTTACATCGCTGACTTCACAAAATTATATCAGAATATCGACGCAGATAACTATCCGCAGTAAGTGCAACTGTTAATGACAACTTTGACAAATGTAAAATGTTGTGACAAACGCGAAATGGAAAAAAATCTCTGACCCACCTCCCCGGCACAGATTTATTCCCTTTCTTAAAGTACACTCCTCCTACGCTTCCTTTATGGTTTGGTCCTCCAGGAGCAGACATACCAGGAATTTCACCCCATCTAGCCAAGCTTCATATTGCTTACTTCATTGTGAGCATGTTTGAAAGCGAATATAATGATTGAAAGTTTATAAACAGCACTATCTCCACCACGTAAGTTGACCCACGGAGAACCTTGACACAGTTATACGGACTGCTTATGTCAAAGTTTCTTATTGGATATTAATACTTCAGTTACTAATACTTATCTAATACGTTTTTGAATAAAATATCATAAACTACCATGTTATTTGTCACCATAGTTAATCTTCGATCTCTATTTTATTATTTTATTTTTTATTTGGAAATTTCCATTCGGTAAATTTGTGAACAGTAGTTCCGCAGCGAATAAGTAAAAGCGGCCCACACACTTCCGCATTTGGTTTGAGTGTTGTCATTCTGAAGATTATTAGTCACGATGAGATTCTAAAACCGTAGACTCTAGTACGCGAGAGCATATGTGTTGCTAGATTTTTTGCAAGTATATTCCATTTTTGATTGTTTAGCTGAAAGTTTGGCTTGGGAAATTTAGGTGTACTGACTTCTACTTACGTAGATGTGGCAATTTACGTTGTAACGCAGAGCTTTGAGAACATTTAATCGAAATCGAAGAGTGCAAGAACATGGAGTTTCAGCTGAAAACCCTTTTACTGCTGGCAATTTTCCTGGTCCTTCTGTCAGGTATGCTTATTTATTTTGGAATCGTATTGTACTAGTAACCATAAAAATTCGCATATATATGCAAATTAAAAATAAAAAAAAATTTAAAAACAATGCATGAAGTTCAGAAATAGTGTAATTGCAAATTGTGTCTATAAGTCATAATATTTAAAACAAAGAATTAATACTTTTTCTTTTGTTTCATTTCGTTTATTTTGTTTAAATGCATCTTTTATCTTTATAAAAGATTATTATTTTTATTTTTGCTTTTATTATTATTATTATTAATTATCTATTATTATTATTATTATTATTATTATCATTATTGTGCAGTATCTGAGGCTGCCCAGTGCTCAAACCCTATAGATTATGTCCTGATAGCACCAGAAAACTATGATAGGTAAGCAACACCTCTTAACAGCTAGGTATACTGCTTGTTTTTGAGACACATTTTTTTTCTTTTTTTTTTCTTTTTTTTTTCAGCTGAATTAGTTCATGACTTATCTAATCTTTTACTCAGTATACCTTTCAGTTATTTATTTATAATGTTATTATTATTATTTATTTTAATTTTTAAATATTTAATAAATAAATAAAATAATGACAATAACTAAAATGATTGTCATTATTTTATTTATTTTTTAAGAGCACATTTAAATTACTGATTATGGTGCAATTATTTTCTGCCAACATTAGTACATGTGTGATTAAACACATACTTCTGCATTTCTTCCTTGTTATGATTTCTTGAAAAAGAAACAGAGGTGTAAAGAAAGATAGGATAAAAAATCCAGTTGTTGTTAACTGCATTTCTTCTTTCTGACCAGGAATTTCAGCAGTCTAACCAAAGAAGGAGGCAGGCCTCTAGGATTCAATGCATCCACTTGGTACTATGAACAAGACATCCAGAACCCATGTGTGAAACTCAGTAACACACAAAATGTAGAGATTCAGATTTTGGTAGGTCATATATGGTGTTATTTGTTGATGGTAGTACTTGGGAATTGAACTAAAACTTATAGAATTTATACATACTTTTATACTCACTTTAGAGCAAATATTAGTATTTGACCCAATTTAATTTGTTCTCAGTTAAATAGTTGCTCATTTCCAATAATGCATGTGTCATAATAAAAATTTGAATAACATATTGGGAAATGATAAAATATTTAATCATAGAGCAATATATTACTTAAGCTGTTGTGTTTGTTCATCTTGGCCCATATATGTATATCATTGATTATAAATTCTGCACTACTGGTAGTGTTAAATAAACAATGTGATACACATTTATTTTTATATATGTACTCATTGACACTATTGTAAGTTCTATATTATCAATTCCCAGACATTGTTATATCCTTTTCCCTTCTTACCAATGAATTTATTATCATAAAATCAGAAAGCTTTTTTTCTAAAAAAAATGAGTTCCACATTTTTTTAATACTTTATGTTTGGAAATGCAAAGCTGCCAAATGCAGTTAAATGTATTTTGAATATTCTGTTTTGTTTATAGATTGAAACCAACCCTCCTGCAAGAATATGGTAAGTTTCATAAACAGACATTTACTAGTATATTGAATATTGAATTTAAACAAGAAGTTATTGCACAAATATTGTGTGTTTAAAATTGATTTCATTATTTGTCACATTATTTAACTGTCAGTTTTATATGGACTGTAAATAAGCATACCGCAATATCAGGGACTAATAATTAATCTTTGTTAAGGGGACTCTCTCCATTTTAGCCATTTCAGAGGAAAATAAAAAAAAGATGCCTGTTTTTGTAAGTGATGTTACCAAACATGAATTTCTGCTTGTGTGTGTGCATGTATGGTCTCCCTTTTCATTGACTTGGATGAGTTAAATGATTACAGGAGAACCCCCCTCTTATAAGATTCTTTAAGCTTTAAAAAAGCTTGATGCTCCATAATATAAATATTTTACTTTGAGAAATTTTTTTCAAAAATCAATTTATTTTGTATTTGTCAATATATCATCACTCCTTTAGCATTTTTTTAAAAGTTTTTGTGTATTTTTTACTTCAGTGTGAGAGACCAAGCAGACACCTCAACCTGTGGCCAGGTAAGTCATACGTAGCAGCAGTGGTAAATAATTGAATAAGGTGATAGCCTGAGTGTGAGACCAGGCAGGGGCCACCTCGTTCAAATTTCCACATACATGCACATGCCCACAAAAGGCCCCTTCACACTGGATGGCATCCTTTCTGCGTCCCATAGTGCAGACCCATGTGAGATTAAAAACAAATAATACTTTATGGCTGACAACTGGCTGATCATTGAGCATTCATTTTGCAACCAAAGCGATGCTTTGCCTCCTTTCTATGACTACAGCAATGCCAGTCACATAAAGGAAGTCGGTCCAATGTAAAGGGGGCTTAATGTAATAAGCTTGAACAGTTTGAAATTTGTGAATCAAGAAGCTGACACTCATCAGACCTGGAGCTCACTGAACTAACTAAAGGCAAAACAAGTACTAGTAAAGGTCTAATTTCATAACTAAGGTTGCTTTCACAATATTAAACTATTGTACTCTCACTGAGTAACAGATTAACAAGCCTCCCCCTTTCCAACACACTCATACAGTCACCAGCTTTTCTGTATTCTACCCGGTACTAGGAAAAGGCGTGTTAATCTGATTGCATTAAGCGAGAGTCCCAGCGGAGTTAGTTCAAAATACCTAATACGATAGTTTCATTGTGAGCGCACCCTTGCAAGGTCATCATGAGTGACAGATACATGGTAGAGACCCCCCATGGATTTTGTGAATTGAACACTATTTCATATTGCAGGGTACAGTAACCAAGTGTCCCCACGCCTCCATTGCCAACAACATGTATTTTGAGTTTTATTGTAATGCGCAGTGTGAAGAAGGGGATGTGAACTTTTGGTACAGGTTAGCGATGAGTGCCCCCAACGAAGGTGAGTTCTTTATTAAAATGAGTAAAGTCAGAGGCAAGTTTGAAATTCACGACTGTGACTCTAATCAAAAATGCTCATTTGGTTATCTAGACTTCATGATAGCATTCTTGGCATTTGGTGTATTTTTGGATTTTTTTTAGTTATTTTAATATTTTTAAAATTAGGTTTGTCTAACATACATATGTGATTGACATGGTAAAATTAATCACTTTAGTTCAGTTGTAACATGCAGCTATGAGTATTGTATGTAAATTAGAAAATACAAGAAGTTCACACGTATCAACAATGGAACTCGAGCTACTGATTGCAAATTTTTAAGTTTTTGTATAATTTATTTTATATTTCTACGCCACAGTCCTTCAGATATACAAATAATTTATCTACAAAGGTATGGCAGTCATATACAGAGCAATGATAAGTCAACAATATAATTACATAAATAATAAAATTAATGGATAATTACAAAATGCCAGTCATTGAATTTTGACCCAATTTTTCAGAAAACTGGTGCTTCAATCAAAGGAGTGAGTTTCCCAGCGACCTTGCTCCCATTAACCCCATTGTGGTGGATGTGAAAACAACACCTAAGCCAAATAGAGCAGACGGCCTCTTGACCAGGACAAGCCCAATTCTGCATCTTATATCAGCTCTTGCATGTATATTTGTGTTGGAAAAGATGTCTTTTTGCAACTAAATCGATAGTTTTATGTAATGTTCACCAACATTCCTTATTATGTGAATTCAGATTGGGACATTAATTTGCCTCGAGTATAATAGGAAACTCAAAGATGGGAAATTTTGAGAGGTTCTCTTACGTTCTGTATAAAATAGCAAAGACTTGCATTTACCAATGCTGCCTCTATTTCAAACAATACTCACAGAGTTTTATTTAAAATAATATTTTAGATTTAAAAATTCACTATTTTTGATGAGTGAAAGGCAACTTACAACATTTGTTAATCTCTGAAAAAAACTTTTGTGACAAATCGGGTATGGCTTAACTTGTTATGAGGTATTTATTGATTTAGCAGAACAAAACCAGATGTTATTGAAGATAATCATTCTACTTTTATCCAATGACTGTGATGCATTTTCATTTTTTTCAAAACTGCACAATGATGTATTCTTATTTCAAAACGAATGCAAAATTTAGCTAAGTACAGTTTAGTTTAGTTTCTACAGAATTTATGAAAATTAATGAACAATATGGGCCATTCCAAGAAATTGCTGTCAAAAATATGGATCTGAGAGTATTTTTTTTTTTATAGAAATTGTTACACTTTGTGTAATTTGAAAGTGTAATATTGAAAATCATGGCTTAGTTACATTTTATTACAGGAATGGGTGTTATGCATACTACATATATATATTCCCTCTTGAGTCAGTCAAAATTCAGAAGTTGGTTAACATTAACTTTGAAGAAGTAGTTTTTTTTCTTTCAAATGGACAAAATAAAATATTAGGCATTGATTTTGTCAGTGGGAAAATTTTACCAATGGCCTCAGGAAAAAATTAATCATTTTTATGCTAAAAAGTAGTCCATACTGTAAATATAACATTAAATCCTCCCTATGTAAGTACATGTAGCAGCAATGGTCACTAAACGTGTTGAAAAGTTTTGTCAACAGATTCCATTAAAAGGGACGTTAACCAGCTTATCAACTTTGTCTGGCCTTGACAGCAACTATTCATGTAACAAGTGCAACTTGATTCAATTATAAGTCTGCCCAGAAATTATGATGCAATTCTCCTTTATTGTTTCAATGAAATGCATACAAATGTAACACATATATGTTTTTGAAATATCTTTTCTGAAGTTATGCAAATATATTGTGCATTATATGCTATTACAAATGTAAATGATCGTACAACAGTATGTTGTTCAACATGTGCACATAATTAACAATGGGCAATGTAATCATCTTGATCTTTTCTACTTCAACTCACATCTACCTGTACTAACACTGTGTAGTAAAACAATGCTTTACCCTCCTGTGCTGGTCACATTTGGGAGTACATGTACATCTATATACATATATATGTCATTAAGGTATCGTCATTAAGTATGACATAATAATAAATTTTCATAATTTCATAAAGTGCTTGTTCTCTCGTATATTTTGGCATCACTGAAATTGCACCGATTTACTGCTATGCAACATTCCACATTTTTTTTTATTATCACTGTCTTATGAAGTAATTCCTCAACAGATAATCCATTTAGTAACAATGCTTCTATATTGCTTTGAGCTATCTAAATAGAACATGTTTAATATGATACTTGACTCCAAGCAAAAGCATTTATCAAATACATTTAACACGTTTAGTCTACGCATTATTCTTCAGAAACATTCAAGTTGGCTCCATACAACCTTTTCTTTGTCCGTTTCAATTCAAAGTTTAAATGAAGAAAATGAAAGGAATGACTGCAGTTGTTCAACATTAATTCCATCAAATAATTAGTATTTTTAACTTAATTTTCTACAAATCACAGTTTTTATTCAACACCTCATTAACAAACCAGAATGTATGTGCCAAGAAATAATAATAAAAACAACCCTCTCAAGATGAAGAGGACATGTGCCAAGATAATCCAAACCCAAAGTCTCCCAGCACCAATCCTGCCAACCTTTACTAGGTCACTTATTCCATGTTTCACATTTCATCTCTTACTTTATCAATGAACTGTTTATAAGCTGCAAACACCCCCTGTGGATCCTCCCAGAGGGGATAGTGACTGATGTCTTTACCTAATACTGTTATACTCCCCCTGGGGACTGTTTTTCTATAAAATAATTACAAAATATTAACAAATAGTAGCTTTAATTTACTAAGACATTGCATGCTTGTATCATTTTTGAACACAGTACGTAACATACCTTTTGTTTCTAGGTAATGTTCTAATGTAAATCATCTAAACATCAAGGTCAGTAAACTATGCTATGCAAGTATGTGATTTTAGAAATTAGGGAATATGACAGCTAAGTTTCTCTTCAAAAACTAAAACTGATAAAGACTTTGTGGTGTTAAAAAAAATAAATATTTGCTAGTTTCATGAAATATGTCAAAAAATTCAGTGTTTTCTGAGTCTGAGGCAATTAAATGAATAACAACATAAAACAAACTTACTTGTAAAAGTCAATAAAAGGTGGTGGGTTGATGGGATCAGCTGGTCCATATATCACATGAACTGGAAAACAAAAGGATAAGATTTAAGGCGAAATAAAAATAGAAGTAAACAACCCTTCTGTCCAACACCACGCAAATTTGGAATAAAAATTACAAACGGGCTCGAAATACAGACACTGTTGTATACTTTTAGGTTGGATCACACATTGTTAATACTTCTTAGCTTCATGGTTAAAATACTGATATTTACGTTTGCATCACTATGAGGAAATCTAAGGCTGACAACAATAAGCAGTTTAAATCACTGAATGTTTACTCTTTGCTTGCTCAGGTACATTCTGCCTGTTCTGTGTGGAATCCCACTCTTTTTAAAGAGTTATATTGTTTTTATATTATGATTAGTTATATTAAATATTAAAATATCAAACCATGACAATTTGACAAAGGATTTTTGGACTCTTTATTTAGATTAATTAACGAGCCTACTTTACCTCTTTAGACTTCACACAACATGTCATAAGGAATTACAGGCTACAAACAAAGACATTACATGAAGTTACCAAAATTGCTGGTGAATTTTTAAATGTCTCAGACACTACAGTATGTGAAACATAACTTAGTCAGCTATGATTTTAAGTGGTCTAAGACTGCATTCCCACAGACTAAGATCGATCCATCTGCATCGAACTAACTCCCTGGGGGTTCACCCTAAATTGCTGTCAGCCGAGCACCTTCAAAAGTTAAATACCCCCTTACAGCTTTTAGTAGGAGGAACAGACATTTAAGCCGGCTAATCTGACAGCAATCTAGTGAGACTCCCCACAGGGATAGATCGATCTAAAATCTGTGGGAATGCAGTCTAAGACATACCTGGAAGCCTGGTATTTTGTAAGGCTCCTGTCCACCTGTCTTTGTTTGCTGCCCTCTCCAGGATGTAATCAATTAACCTGTAAAATAAAGGCAAATTTAGACACTGGGTTTAATCCACCACAACCTTAGTTTGAGCTACAAGTTTTGACCAATAAAAACAAAAGTTAACTTGTAAGGTGAACTGAGTTTTTTACAGAATGGTATATGAAGGAGTATTTTTTATTTCTAATACAAAAAGGTAAAATTGATCAAATGTTAGAAAATCAGCTTAATTAAAGAAAATAACGTTGAGCATTTGGCCAAAGATTTATTTCATTTTTAATATTATTATATAAGACTTAACATAGAGTGACTTATATAGCTTACTAAAGAAACAGATTGTTGACATCAATGTGGTTTGAAAATGTGGTTTTGCAGTCAAGAATTTTAAGTTAATTATAGAAATCGGTTCTTATAGTCTTGACACACACGGACCATATACTGGTACCCGTACTAGCTAGACTTACCTGGGTAGAGCAAAGTTGCCCTCATTGTACCTGGTGGCAGCCCAAAAGTCACTAAGGTCTTCAGGTGTTGGTTTTGTATAAGGACCAAACACATGGCTGAGGCTGGAAAATATGATTATATAATGTATTTTATGATTTTTCAAATAAATCACTTTGGGTTACCCTTGGACTTCTAAGTATGTATATAAAGAGTTTAAGGTTAAATAAACATGTACATGTGTTTCAGATTCCTTCTTTTATATTCACCATCAATACCCATCAATGATTTGAAGTTGAAGAGTGTAAAAAGCACAATAGGTTGCTATTTTACTTTTTCATAAGACACTGAATTTATGTGACAAGTCTGTAATTTATGACAATAACCACATACTGTATGCAATAGTATAGAGCATATTTCTTTTACCAATTAAATTAAAACATATAATACTATTTTTATCATGTAATGTACCCAGTCTGACTCTAGGACAAAATTTTAATTTACAGAAAAAGCTGGCTAATCAAACATAAATTAGAAATTTGCATATTTAAAATTAAAAATAAATCTGGCAAAAAAGTGATGAAACATATCTTATTTGTCTTTACCAAATTCAGAAGTATTTTTGAACAATAAAATATTAAAATATTTGGTAAAAAGTTGTATTGGAAGTGTGATACAAAGCAGTCTGTTTGTTATGATGCAGGTTGCCCTATCTACACAGAATTACCTTGTATAAATACATACCCTCTTTTAAACATAAATCTATTGGAAAACATTCCAATTGGATATTTCAAGTAGGGTTTCAGCATCAACTGAAATGAAGTAAAACACACACATCAACAGTACCAAATGCATGCATCATATTCAAGCAATTAATAATTCACATTTTCATTTGTGAATATCATCTTACAAAAAGTCACTTTAAAGAAAACACTGAAATCTTTTTGTTTAAATGTGGGAAATCAAAAGCTCTAAAGCGTGATATGTGTCTTTTTGTATCTAAATGTGTCGAGTTGTATATACACCAGTATCTATGAGGGATACAATTAATAAAACCAAACACAAATTCAAAGGTCTACAATAATTTGGTTTTATATTAAAAGGCATCTACAAACTGCCAAAAAATAGTCACATGTTTATATCAGCTTTTGGACAAATTCCTGCAATTTCTAACACATTCTAAACATTGCAAGCAAGAATAGTTTTCAATGATATGAACTTGCAATTTACTTAATTACACTCTACCAGGGCCACAGATTGATTCTTCACTATATATTAACAGATACGTCTCCAGATAAATTATGGCACTTTTTGCACTGAGAGATAGTCAGAGATAAGTGCACATAATTATCTGTATCCCTGGTAGAGAATACAATTCAAAGGCTGTCATCTCAAGACTGCCACTGCTAGTTTCTCTCATTTCCAGGGGCAGATTGAGGTTGTTTTCTGGGTCTTCCAGAAGATGGTCAGAATTTTTCAAGTTTACTTAGACGAGCATCTAATTTTTTCTGTTGAAAGTCAAAAATGGAGGAAGGATCAACAAAAATAATTTGGAAAATATCTCTGGATCCGCCCCTGATTTCATTAAGTGTTTGCAGGTACCGGTAGAGTATCATAATAAATATCAATATATACTTGCATATTGAACACTTGGTGCTTGGTGTCTCCCAATTCCATGTACAAACTGAGCAATTGTGATCTTTTACTATTAATCTACAGCTGACAACTTAAAATGATCTTACCCTTTGAATCAAATTTGCATGGTGTGTTTCAGGAAAGATACCTATAAATAAAGAACAGATTTCTAGAAATGCATGGAAAGCTGTATCAGAGCAGTAGAAATTAGCCTTTAGTTACCTTCATGTTTGGAGTGGGGTGGTTAGTTTCAGGAAACATGCCTGTAAGAAAAGATTGAAACTATTCTGAGACTGAAATTTCTGCCTTCTCAACTCCCCCTCCCCACAAAAATACTAATATAAACAATAAATTAATTGATTGACTGATCTATCAATCAATCAATCAATCTTCCAACTGATTAATTACTGTACACATCTAGACACAATTTGACAATTAGGATTGGTTCAAAAGCTGATAATTCATGTTGAACTCAACTTTAAGAGCTGTCACTGAAATCAAATCCATCCCTGTTAGTCTACTAGTATGTTAGTCTAACTACACTGACACTACTGTATTTACTTAAAACCATTTTGAGGTACAATAACTATTTATAGATCCAACGGTGAAAATGGTGTAATACTAGTATGGGTATGTTGGATGAAAACTGGCCTGGCTGATCGATTATTTTTGCCTATTTGAGATATAATGTTAAGGCAAGTAACTTAAAACAGCTAAAATCCATCTCAAGTGAAGCAATATATGGGTTTATAGATTAACAGAAATACTCCTCACCTCCATTCATCAAACAAACACTTTCTATTTCCAAACCACCATCTTGGCCATCTCTCAGTCTGTCTTCATACCTGATGGAAATGGAAACATTCAAGTCAGAAAGTAAAACTCGTCAGACAAAATTATCAATTTAATCTAAATAAGTTAAAAATTTGCCCATTTGTAAAAAAAACTTCCCACTGAACTCTTTTCCCCTTAAAAGTAATTTTATTCAAAATGCCATCTTCTCAGTGATATAAGTCAATAATCTTGTCATTAAATTTAATCATTCAAGGACAAAACTTTATTTATCTATTTATTTTTTTTATCTTTATTTTATTATTTTTTTTTTTTTTTGCAAAATAGCTTAACAGTATCATCTGAATCACTTTAATTTGACTAAAAAGGTAAAATAAAAATTTAAAATATGTTAAGCATTTGGCTTCAATTTACTGTGCAAGAGTGAGTCCATATACAGTCAATAAAGCATGTGTTCCATACCTGCTGAGTACCTCCTGTGCATATGTATCTCCCAGATCATGTGCCAGTATATGCACAGTATCTATGCCCAGGTGGCCCATCAAGTGCTCAGCAATGTCTGCCTGCTCCATCACTGAGTAGTTGTGACCAGCCTGGAAGAAACAATCACTCAGTATTCTAAAACTGCAGTTGTTGGCTACTCAGAATTAGTTCAAATGAAATCAACGTTAACCCAGAAATATGCAATATATGGTCTATATAATCAGTGTGTTTGTGTGTGTTTGTTTTACATCAATTTAAATCTTTTTTTTTCTAACATCAGTAGTGACACGCCACCCTGAGCTTCAGAGCTAACTTGACACTAACCTTTTCACTGTAGCCTATCTCCATCGTGTCAAGTAACCTCTGACGAAAATAGTTTGACCTAGTTTATATAAGCCAATCGAATCCATGTTTCAAAATTTTTCACCAAAGTTTGGTGAAAACGCTGATTGGTTGATCGTCAATCGGCAATCCTCGGCTGATTCCGCAAGCTCCATACTAACAACATAGTTATTGTCGAGTGCGGAGACATCCGAGTAGTTCCGAGTGCATAACCGTACACAAAGAAAGTATGGAGTATATCGGAATTGAAACCAGAGCAGTATGATGCCCTGCATCATTATCTACTGAGGGATGATGTATTTTGCGTGCTGCCCACAGGTTACGGCAAGTCCCTGATATTCAGCCTTATCTTTGATTGGTCCGGATTTGAACAAAGCGCGCTTTGACTCGTTCGCGTTCATTGGCTAGATCGTTCAATGAGTCATTGAGTGCGGGCTTTAAATTTGATTGGCGGGCGGCGGGGGCACTCGAATCTGGTCAGAGGTTACTTGACACGATGGAGATAGGCTACAGTGAAAAGGTTAGTGTCAAGTTAGCTCTGAAGCTCAGGGTGTGACACGCTGTTAAAGCTACAAATGTTTATCATTTTCTTTGGCCTTATTGATATATTTTTTTGACAATTTGGAATTTATTGTTTCCATTTGACAGCATCAATTTTTCTTTATCAAAGCAACAACCCAAATTATGTTTAATGTAACATTTACCGGTTTATCACTAAATCCAAATCCTAGAAAGTCCAGAACAATCAGACGACCAAACTCTCCTTTCAGGTCCTTCCACATCTAAAGAAAAAGATAAAATTCAAAATTGCTAGAATAAAATGAAGATAACACTTTTTTTAAAATAAATAGATACTCCCAGTATCTAATTTGTAACATACAATGTATTATGCAATAGCAACTGAAGACCAACACAAAAAATACTGCTAACCATTTAGAATTTTACACAGTTATATAAAACTGTTGTTACACATGTATTAACAACTCTTAATATCTTATTAACATACATGTATATCCAAAAATGTCTTAAGGACAAGGGAGGCAATGCAGCAATTTTCTCTTCCCCAAAAATCATCACATGTTATTGTTACATATCAATAGAATCCTTGCTTCAACAGCTATTCATATCACACATTTATTTCATCCTGCAGCAGAAATATAATATTTACTGTACATACTTTGGAGAAGTCGTAACTCATTGTGGGATAGCCATGCATCATAAGCAACACCTCTTTTGACTTAGCATCGCCACGTTCATCTGAAACAACAGTATAACTTTTTATTAATTAACTTGAAAATATTAATACTCATTGTAACATAAATTGCTTATAACGGACAGCTATAGACACTTATCTGGAGCTGTTTAATTAGAACATAAACTGATTTTTAATTTGAAAATTGAAACAGTAAATAAATAACTTTCATTATACGGTTACTGAAATGGTGGAGACAATATTAACATGTGGAATCCTAAACCATCACTGAATAGAAGTTTTTTTTTTAAGACACAAGCACCTAACAGCATAAAATTAACATATACATCGTACCAATGAAAACATAAAAATAACAGGTTCAACAGTGGATCCAATATTACAGTTAAGTCTCTGAAGTGCATGTAACAGTACTGTTAGAACCCATTCCCACATCTACCGGTAGATAGATCTAGCAGGACCTATCTCTGAGGGGTTTCTCGCTAAATTGACTTCAGCTTAAGCGGCTTAAATGTCTGGCAAGCCTACTGAAGCTGTTAAACAACAATCGATTACCTTCTTAGGAGTTCCAGACATCAGAGCCGCTTAAACTGAAGGCAATTTAGCAAGAACCCCTCAGAGATGGGTCTATCCTAACTACATCAATCTAAGTATGGGAATGGGGTCTGATACTACATCCTCACCTATGTAGAATATCTGATGTCCCTTAAATGAGTGGTATTCGCCTCTGTCTTTCCACTGCTGCAGCTGAGGTGAGAGCTGAGGGGGAGGGAAGTTCACATAAATCCCCAGGAGAACAGCTACCACCACCACCCCAACACCTAACGTGGTCAGAAAACTCATGAAGGCACACTGTGATTACTTTCCTTTTTGTAGTCTTTGAAACCTAAAAAAAAATTAGAGATTCAAAAGATAGATATTATCAAAGAAGTATTAAATAGATGCACCTTTCAAAATATACCCAGTATGACAAGAATTAAAAGCTTGATTTTGACATTTTGAAAAATACCTTTGAAAAAATAATGCTTCTGGCATACAAAATGGGTGTAGTCTATAGATTGTACGTACAGTACTAAACGCCTTCTCCTATATAAACGTGGAACATAAATAGTTTTTTATCTGCCCTATTTTCTGACCCCAGTGCACTTAGAAACATGGTAACCGAGATTTCAATTTGTCCTACTTTTTGACCCCTTGCACTGAAAATAATGTGAAGCCTGCAGTGTACTTGAGTACCCCTAAGACCAAGATCCGACATTTACTGGAAACATGGAACCTGCATGTCACCTCTTTAGGCTGTTCCATCATCAGGAGACGGCAGAGGGGCGTGCCAATATTAAAACAGGTCAGTAAGTCGTAACAAATATAATAAGCCAAAACAAAACACACTGTTTGGAGCTGTACCTAGTACGCAGGATGCAGCTAGGGTGGCACGTACAGGTACTCTGGACACTGCAGGTGTGAATGTATATGTGCGTGCGTGCGGGGGGAGGGGCAAATGAAAATGATCAGGTCATTCAATGTCAAACTGTACTAAATTCAAATATCACTGGCTTCACCGACTTGCCTTCTGGTCCTAGGACTGCATTTGTCCGGTCTGTTTCAACGTAGATCGAAGTTCACGTGCACCGCCTACTTTGACTAGTTCCCTAATAACGTTTCTGCCACAATCGACAAAGTCAAGATACATTTCATGATGTGAGAACAGAAATATTTACATATGATAAAATACAAGGATAGCAATACAAAAAATCAACAAATATTCCATAACTCATCGCTTAATTTTCATACTGCAAGATAGAAATCTGTAAATGCTTCGTGGAACAATTCAAAGAATCTTGTCAGAGTAAACAGCGGGTCGTGTCAACGTTGTTCATCTTCGATTCAAGATATATCTAGATCTGTATGACTTTAACAAAAGGAGACAAAGCTTAGCTTGAAAACTGCTTCGTGCGACTCAATCGTCACTTTGTGGAGATAATTACATGCGTACATAAACAGTCACTCACAGCTCAACAAAGATTATGTGAAATTTCTGAAAACTTGAAGGAACGTAGTGGTCACATTAGTGCATGGTAAGTAACACAAATGTAGACTGTTGTTGTTGTTGTTGAAAAAGCATAGATCTGCGTGATAAATGTACCGTTGCAACATGCATGTACGGTTGACAGAAACAGAGGTGACTTTGACAATGCTGTACACATGTTTATAGTTGTATTACTGACTGCGCTGTTTGTTACCCCGTATTTGATGTACTGTACATGTACTGTAGTTAGATGTTCTGCCCATGATTGTACTGTATGTATCTTATTTGTGTCGTGAAGGTGTGTAGACCTACATTTGTCAATAAAAAAAATATTTGTACTAATTATAGATCTAAGTTCATTATACACTTTGTACATTAGTATGTAGCACTAAATTCCGCTCTAACAATACAACTGACTTTTTATGGATTACTTTTTCTGATACAATCTACTGTACATATATATATATATATATATATATATATATATATATATATATACATGTACATACATGTATATATACTGTATATGTATGTTCCAGTTTGCGCTACTGTATATGTGCTGAATGTACAAGGTATATTTGCACATGTTAACACGTATACTACAATATGATATCATATCAGAAAATGTAAAATACAATTGCTATCATCATGAAAGTTCATTCTCATTTACTTGTTACTGGAAGAGCTAGAATCGAAGTCTGCAGCTGGCAGTGTTGGCTTTGTTGGGGTACTTGGAAGTGAAGCCATTTATACATGCAGTAGTNGAGAACGGACGAAAATCGGTGCGCGCGCAGGATGTCATCCATAAAATTAAAAAAGTGTGGCCTTACTATATCGTCTGCAACACCACAACACACACAATTAAGTTATCAATTCAAATTATATCATGACTCGGGGAAAATCCCTTCAAATTTTATTACCTCTGTTTCCCCCCAAGTCTCAACTCGTGTAATAAAACGGATTCGTGACGTCAAGAAAAACGGGCCTCTATTCAAATTTGTTACATCGCTGACTTCACAAAATTATATCAGAATATCGACGCAGATAACTATCCGCAATAAATGTAACTGTTAATGACAACTTTGACAAATGTAAAATGTTGTGACAAACGCCAAATGGAAAAGAAAATCTCTGACCCACCTCCCCGGCACAGATTTATTCCCTTTCTTAAAGTACACTCCTCCTACGCTTCCTTTATGGTTTGGTCCTCCAGGAGCAGACATACCAGGAATTTCACCCCATCTAGCCAAGCTTCATATTGCTTACTTCATTGTGAGCATGTTTGAAAGCGAATATAATGATTGAAAGTTTATAAACAGCACTATCTCCACCACGTAAGTTGACCCACGGAGAACCTTGACACAGTTATACGGACTGCTTATGTCAAAGTTTCTTATTGGATATAAATACTTTAGTTACTAATGCTATTCTAATACTTTTTTGAATAAAATATCATAAACTACCGTGTTATATGTCACCATAGTCAATCTTAAACCTCTATTTTATTATTTCATTTTTTGTTTGGAAATTTCCATTGGTAAATTTGTGAACAGTAGTTCCGCAGTGAATAAGTAAAAGCGGTCCACAAACACACTTCCGCATTTGGTTTGAGTGTTGTCATTCTTAAGATTATTAGTCACGATGAGATTCTAAAACCGTAGACTCTAGTAAGCGAGAGAAGCAATAAGACTCGAGCATATGTGTTGTTAGATTTTTTGCACTTATATTCCATTTTTGATTGTTTATCTGAAAGTTTAGCTTGGGAAATTTAGGTGTACTGATTTCTACTTACGTAGATGTGGCAATTTATTATTTACGTTGTAACGCGGAGCTTTGAGAACATTTAATCGAAATCGAAGAGTGCAAGAACAATGAAATTTCAGCTGAAAACCCTTTTACTGCTGGCAATTTTCCTGGTCCTTTTGTCAGGTAGGCTTATTTATTTTGAAATCGTATTGTACTAGTAACCATAAAAATTTGCAGATATATATGCAAATTAAAAATGAAAAAAATTAAAAACAATGCATGAAGTTCAAAAATAGTGTAATTGCAAATTGTGTTTATAAGTCATAATATTTAAAACAAAGAATTAATACTTTTTCTTTTGTTTCATTTCATTTATTTTGTTTAAATGCATCTTGTATCTTTATAAAAGATTATTATTTTTATTTTTGCTTTTATTATTATTATTATTGTGCAGTATCTGAGGCTGCCCAGTGCTCAAACCCTGTAGATTATGTCCTGATAGCACCAGAAAACTATGATAGGTAAGCAACACCTCTTAACACCTCTTAACAGTTTGTTTTTGAGATAAGCTTTTTTTAGCTGAATTAGATCATGACTTATCTAATCTTCTATACCTTTCAGTTATTTATATATTATGTTGTTATTATTATTATTATTTATTTTAATTTAATTATTGTCATTTTTTTAAGAGCACATTTAAATTACTGATAATGGTGAAATTATTTTCTGCCAACATTAGTACATGTGTGATTAAACACATACTTCTGCATTTCTTCCTTGTTATGATTTCTTGAAAAAGAAACAGAGGTGTAAAGAAAGATAGGATAAAAAATCCAGTTGTTGTTAACTGCATTTCTTCTTTCTGACCAGGAATTTCAGCAGTCTAACCAAAGAAGGAGGCAGGCCTCTAGGATTCAATGCATCCACTTGGTACTATGAACAAGACATCCAGAACCCATGTGTGAAACTCAGTAACACACAAAATGTAGAGATTCAGATTTTGGTAGGTCATATATGGTGTTATTTGTTGATGGTAGTACTTGGGAATTGAACTAAAACTTATAGAATTTATACATACTTTTATACTCACTTTAGAGCAAATATTAGTATTTGACCCAATTTAATTTGTTCTCAGTTAAATAGTTGCTCATTTCCAATAATGCATGTGTCATAATAAAAATTTGAATAACATATTGGGAAATGATAAAATATTTAATCATAGAGCAATATATTACTTAAGCTGTTGTGTTTGTTCATCTTGGCCCATATATGTATATCATTGATTATAAATTCTGCACTACTGGTAGTGTTAAATAAACAATGTGATACACATTTATTTTTATATATGTACTCATTGACACTATTGTAAGTTCTATATTATCAATTCCCAGACATTGTTATATCCTTTTCCCTTCTTACCAATGAATTTAGTATCGTAAAATCAGAAAGCTTTTTTTCTAAAAAAAAATGAGTTCCACATTTTTTTAATACTTTATATGTTTGGAAATACAAAGCTGCCAAATGCAGTTAAATGTATTTTGAATATTCTGTTTTGTTTATAGATTGAAACCAACCCTCCTGCAAGAATATGGTAAGTTTCATATTCAGACATTTACTAGTATATTGAATATTGAATTTAAACAAGAAGTTATTGCACAAATATTGTGTGTTTAAAATTGATTTCATTATTTGTCACATTATTTAACTGTCAGTTTTATATGGACTGTAAATAAGCATACCGCAATATCAGGGACTAAGAATTAATCTTTGTTAAGGGGACTTTCTCCATTTTAGCCATTTCAGAGGAAAATAAAAAAAGATGCCTGTTTTTGTAAGTGATGTTACCAAACATGAATTTCTGCTTGTGTGTGTGTGCATGTATGGTCTCCTTTTTCATTGACTTGGATATGTTAAATGATTACAGGAGAACCCCCCTCTCGTAAGATGCTCCATAATATAAATATTTTACTTTGAGAAATTTTTTTCAAAAATCAATTTATTTTGTATTTGTCAATATCAGCACTCCTTTAGCATTTTTTAAAAGTTTTTGTGTATTTTTTACTTCAGTGTGAGGGACCAAGCAGGCACCTCAACCTGTGGCCAGGTAAGTCATACATACATAGCAGCAGTGGTAAATAACTGAATAAGGCGATAGCCTGAGTGTGAGACCAGGCAGGGGCCACCTCGTTCAAATTTCCACATACATGCACATGCCCACAAAAGGCCCCTTTACACTGGATGGCATCCTTACTGCGTCCCATAGTGCAGACCCATGTGAGAGTAAAAACAAATAATACTTTATGGCTGACAACTGGCTGATCATTGAGCATTCATTTTGCAACCAAAGCGATGCTTTGCCTCCTTTCTATGACTACAGCAATGCCAGTCACATAAAGGAAGTCGGTCCAATGTAAAGGGGGCTTAATGTAATAAGCTTAAACAATTTGAAATTTGTGAATCAAGAAGCTGACACTCATCAGACCTGGAGCTCACTGTACTAACTAAAGGCAAAACAAGTACTAGTAAAGGTCTAATTTCATATCTAAGGTTGCTTTCACAATTAAACTATTGTACTAGATAGTTCGAACTTACTCCATGGGACTCTCACTGAGTAACAGATTAACAAGCCTCTTCCTTTCCAACACACTCGTACAGTCACCAGCTTTTCTGTATTCTACCTGGTACTAGGAAAAGGCGTGTTAATCTGATTGGATTAAGCGAGAGTCCCAGCGGAGTTAGTTCAAAATACCTAATACGATAGTTTCATTGTGAACACATCCTTGGTGGTCATGAGTGAAAGATACATGATGGAGACTCCCCATGGATTTTGTGAACTGAACACTATTTCATATTGCAGGGTACAGTAACCAAGTGTCCCCATGCCTCCATTGCCAACAACATGTATTTTGAGTTTTATTGTAACGCGCAGTGCGAAGAAGGGGATGTGAACTTTTGGTACAGGTTAGCGATGAGTGCTCCCAATGAAGGTGAGTTCTTTATTAAAATGAGGGGCATGTCTATCAGTAGCATCAGAGGCCAGTTTGAAATTCTCCACTGTGACACTAATCAAAAATGCTCAATTGGTTATCTAAATTTCATGATAGCATTCATGGCATTTGGCATATTTTTGGATTTTTTCATTTAATTTAATATTTTTAAGAAATATTTTTAAAAAATAGGTTTGTCTAACATACATATGTGATTGACATGGTAAAGTCAATCACTTAAGTTCAGTTGTTACATGCAGCATTGAGTATTGTATGGAAATTAGAAAATACAAGAAGTTCACACGTATCAACAATGGAACTCAAGCTACTGATTGCAAATTTTAAAGTTTTAGTATAATTTACTTTATTATAATTATTTCTACACCACAGTCCTTCCGATATACAAATAATTTATCTACAAAGGTATGGCAGTCATATACAGAGCAATGATAAGTCAACAATATAATTACATAAATAATAAAATTAATGGATAATTACAAAATACCTGTCGTTGAATTTTGACCCAATTTTTCAGAAAACTGGTGCTTCAATCAAAGGAGTGAGTTTCCCAGCGACCTTGCTCCCATCAACCCCATTGTGGTGGATGTGAAAACAACACCTAAGCCAAATAGAGCAGACGGCCTCTTGACCAGGACAAGCCCAATTCTGCATCTAATATCAGCTCTTGTTTGTATATTTGTGTTGGAAAAGATGTCATTTTGCAACTAAATTGATAGTTTTATGTAATGTTCACCAACATTCCTTATTTAATATGTGAATTCAGATTGGGACATTAATTTGCCTTGAGTATAATAGGAAACTCAAAGATGGGAAGTTTTGAGAGGTTCTCTTACATTTAGTATAAAATAGCAAAGACCTGCATTTGGCAGTGCTGCCTCCATTTGAAACAATACTCACAGAGTTGTATTTAAAATTGATATTTTAAATTAAAAAAATTCAATATTTTTGATGAGTGAAAGGCAACTTACAACATTTGTTAATCTCTGAAAAAACTTTAGTGACAAATCGGGTATGGCTGAATAACTTGTTATGAGGTATTTATTGATTTAGCAGAACAAAACCAGGTATAATTGAAAATTATCGTTCTACTTTTATCCAATGACTGTGATGCATTTTCAATTTTTTTCAAAACTGCACAAAGATATATTCTTATTTCAAAACATGAATGCAATATTTAACTAAGTACAGTTTAATTTAGTTTCTATAGAATTTATGAAAATTAATGAACAATATGGGCCATTCCTAGAAATTGCTGTCAAAATATGGATCTGAATGTATTTTTTTTTATAGAAATTGTTACACTTTGTGTAATTTGAAAGTGTAATATTTAAAATCATGGCTTAGTTACATTTTATTACAGGAATGGGTGTTATGCATACTACATAATTATATATTCCCTCTTGAGCCAGTCAAAATTCAGAAGTTGGTTAACATTAACTTTGAAGAAGTAGTTTTTTTTTCACATGGACAAAATAAAGCATTGGGTATTGATATTGTTAGTGGGAAAATTTTACAATTGGCCTCGGGTTAAAAAACAAAAGAATCATTTTTTATGCTGAAAAATAGTCCATACTGTAAATTTAACATTTAATCTTCCCTACATAAATAGCTGCAATAAGTAGCAACAAGTGCAACTTAACACAATTATAAATCAGTCCAGAAATTATGATGCAATTCTCCTTTATTGTTTCAATAAAATACATATTGTTTCAATGAAATACAAATGTAACATGTCCATGTTTTTGAAATAACTTTTCTGAATTTATTCAAATATATTATGCATTATATACTATTACAAATGTAAATGATCAGAGTTTCATGTTGATCTTTTCTACTTCAACTCACATCTACCTGTACTAACACTGTGTAGTAGAACAATGCTTTACCCTCCTGTGCTGGTCACATTTGGGAGTACATGTACATCTATATATATACATATATATATATGTCATTAAGTATGACATAATAAATTTTCATAATTTCATAAAGTGCTTGTTCTCTTGTATATTTTGGCATCACTGAAATTGCACCAATTTACTGCTATGCAACATTTCACATTTCCTTTTATTATCACTGTCTTAAAAAGTAATTCCTCAACAAATAGACTTAGTAACAATGCTTCTATATTGCTTTGAGCTATCTAAATAGAATATGTTTAATATGATACTTGACACCAAGCAAAAGCATTTATCAAATACATTTAACACGTTTAGTCTACGCATTATTCTTCAGAAACATTTAAGTTGGCCCCATACAACCTTTTCTTTGTCTGTTTCAATTCAAAGTTTAAACGAAGAAAATGAAAGGAATGACTGCGGTTGTTCAACATTAATTCCATCAAATAATTACTATTTTTAACTTAATTTTCTACAAATCACAGTTTTTATTCAACACCTCATAAACAAACAAGAATGCATGTGCCAAGAAATAATAATAATAACAACCCTCTCAAGATGAAGAGGGCATGTGCCAAGATAATCCAAATCCAAAGTCTCCCAGCACCAATCCTGCCAACCTTTACTAGGTCACTTATTCCATGTTTCACATTTCATCTCTCACTTTATCAATGAACTGTTTATAAGCTGCAAACACCCCCTGTGGATCCTCCCAGAGGGGATAGTGACTGATGTCTTTACCTAATACTGTTATACTCCCCCTGGGGACTGTTTTTCTATAAAATATTTACAAATAGTAGCTTTAATTTACTAAGACATTGCATGCTTGTATCATTTTTGAACACAGTACGTAACATACCTTTTGTTTCTAGGTAATGTTCTAATGTAAATCATCAAAACATCAAGGTAAGTAAACTATGCTGTACAAGTATGTGATTTTAGAAATTAAGAAATATGACAGCTAAGTTTCTCTTCAAAAACTGAAACTGTTAAAGACTTTGTGGTGTTAAAAAAATAAATATTTGCAACTTTCATGAAATATGTCAAAAAATTCAGTGTTTTCTGAGTCTGAGGCAATTAAATGAATAACAACATAAAACAAACTTACTTGTAAAAGTCAATAAAAGGCGGCGGGTTGATGGGATCAGCTGGTCCATATATCACATGAACTGGAAAACAAAAGGATAAGATTTAAGGTGAAATAAAAAGTGAAGTAAACAACCCTTCTGTCCAACACCACGCAAATTTAGCAATGAATAAAAATTACAAACGGGCTCGAAATACAGACTCTGTTGTATACTTTTAGGTTGGATCACACATTGTTAATACTTCTTAGCTTCATGGTTAAAATACTGGTATTTACGTTTGCATCACTATGAGGAAATCTAAGGCTGACAACAATAAGCAGTTTAAATCACTGAATGTTTACTCTTTGCTTGCTCAGGTACATTCTGCCTGTTCTGTGGGGAATCCCACTCTTTAATTTATCAAACCAAGACAAAGGATTTTTGGACTCGATAATCAGATTAATTAACAAGCCTACCTAACCTCTTTAGTCTTTAGAATTTACACAACATGTTATAATTACAGACTACAAACAAAGACATTACATGAAGTTATCAAAATTGCTGGTGAATTTTTAAATGTCTCAGACACTATGTGAAACATAACTTAGTCAGCTATGATTTTAAGACAGCTAAGACATACTTGGAAGCCTGGTATTTTGTAAGGCTCCTGTCCACCTGTCTTTGTTGGCTGCCCTCTCTAGGATGTAATCAATTAACCTGTAAAATAAAGGCAATTTCAGAAACGGGGTTTAATCCACCACAACCTTAGTTTGAGCTACCATTTCTGACCAATAAAAATAATAATTAACTTGTAAGGTGAATTGAGTTTTTTACAGAATGGTATATGAAGGAGTATTTTTTATTTTTAATACAAAAAGGTAAAATTGATCAAATGTTAGAAAATCAGCTTAATAAAAGAAAATAATGTTGAGCATTTGGCCAAAGATTTATTTCGTTTTTAATATAACAATATAAGATTAAACATAGAGTGACTTATATAGCTAACTAAAGAAACAGTTTGTTGATACCAATGTGGTTTTGAAGTCAAGAATTCAAGTTAATTATAGAAATTGGTTCTTATAGTCTTGACACACATGGACCATATACTGGTACCCGTACTAGCTAGACCTACCTGGGTAGAGCAAAGTTGCCCTCATTGTACCTGGTGGCAGCCCAAAAGTCACTAAGGTCTTCAGGTGTTGGTTGAGTATTAGGACCAAACACACTGCTGAGGCTGGAAAATATGATTATATACAGTATTTTATGATTTTTCAAATAAATCACTTTAGGTTACCCTTGAACTACTAAGTATGTGTGTAAAAGTTAAATAAACATATACAAGTGTATCAGATTCCTTTTTTTTTTTACTCATCAATGATACCCATCAACGATTTGAAGTTGAAGAGTGTAAAAAGCACAATAGGTTGCTATTTTACTTTTCGTAAGACATTTAAATTCATGAGACAAGTTTGTAATTTATGACAATAACCACATACTCTATGCAATAGTATAGAGGGTATTTCTTTTAACAATTAAATTAAAACATGTAATACAATTTTCATTATATAATGTACCCAGTCTGACTCTAGGTTAAAGTTTTAATTTACAGAAAAAGCTGGCTAGTAATAGATAAATTAGAAATTTACACTTTTTAAATTAAAAGTAAATCTGGCAAAAAAAACTGATGAAACATTTCTTATTTGTCTTTACCAAATTCAGAAGTATTTTAAATACTAAAATATTAAAATATTTGGTAAAAAGTTGTAATGGAAGTGTGATTCAAAGCAGTCTGTTTGTTATGATGCAGGTTGCCCTATCTACACAGAATCACCTTGTATAAATACATACCCTCTTTTAAACATAAATCTATTGGAAAACATTCCAATTGGATATTTCAAGTAGGGTTTCAGCATCAACTGAAATGAAGTAAAACACACACATCAATAGTACCAAATGCATGCATCATATTCAAGCAATTAATAATTCATATTTTCATTTGTAAATATCACCTTACAAAAAGTCACTTGAAGAAAAGATTGAAATCTTTTTGTTTAAATGTGGGAAATCAAAAGCTCTAAAGTGTGATATGTCTTTCACCCCATTTCCATAGATTTTTAGATCGATCTATCCCTGTGGGGGGTCTCACTAGATTACTGTCAGCTTGGCCAGCTTAAGCGTCTGTCCCGCCTACTAAAAGCTGTAAGGAGGTAATTAACTATGGTGCCCACTTGGCTGACTGGTAGAGTGTAATTAAATCTTAATCTTTAGATCGATCTAAATCTCTGGGAAAGCACCCTTTGTATCTAAATGTGTTAAGTTGCATATACACCAGTATCTGTATGAGGGATACAATAAAACCAAACACAAATCCGATGGTCTACAATAATTTGGTTTTATATTAAAATGCATCTACAAATTGCCAAAAAAAAAACAAAAAGGCACATTTATACCACCTTTTAGACTAATTCCTGCAATTTCTAACACATTCTAAACATTGCAAGCAAGAATTGTTTTCAAAAATATGAACTTGCAATTTACTTAATTACACTCTACCAGGGCCACAGATTGATTCTTCACTATATATTCACATATACGTCTCCAGATAAATTATGGCACTTTTTTGCACTGTTAGAGATAGTCAGAGATAAGTGCACATAATTATCTGTATCCCTGGTAGAGAATACAATTCAAAGGCTGTCATCTCAAGACTGCCACTGCTAGTTTCTCTCATTTCCAGGGGCAGATTGAGGTTGTTTTCTGGGTCTTCCAGAAGGTGGTCAGAATTTTTCGAGCTTACTTAGACGAGCATCTAATTTTTTCTGTTGAAAGTCAAAAATGGAGGAAGGATCAACAAAAATAATTTGAAAAATATCTCTGGATCCACCCTGATTTCATTAAGTGTTTGCAGGTACCGGTAGAGTATCATAATAAATATCAATATATACTTACATATTGAACACTTGGTGCTTGGTGTCTCCCAATTCCATGTACAAACTGAGCAATTGTGATCTTTTACTATTAATCTACAGCTGACAACTTAAAATGATCTTACCCTTTGAATCAAATTTGCATGGTGTGTTTCAGGAAAGATACCTATAAATAAAGAACAGATTTCTAGAAATGCATGGAAAGCTGTATCAGAGCAGTAGAAATTAGCCTTTAGTTACCTTCATGTTTGGAGTGGGGTGGTTAGTTTCAGGAAACATGCCTGTAAGAAAAGATTGAAACTATTCTGAGACTGAAATTTCTGCCTTCTCAACTCCCCCTCCCCACAAAAATACTAATATAAACAATAAATTAATTGATTGACTGATCTATCAATCAATCAATCAATCTTCCAACTGATTAATTACTGTCCACATCTAGACACAATTTGACAATTAGGATTGATTCAAAAGCTGATAATTCATGTTGAAGTCAACTTTAAGATTTGTCACTGAAATCAAATCCATCCCTGTTAGTCTACTAGTATGTTAGTCATCTAACTACACTGACACTACTGTATTTACTTAAAACCATTTTGAGGTACAATAACTATTTATAGATCAAATAGTGAAAATGGTGTAATATGGGTATGTTGGATGAAAACTGGCCTGGCTGATCATTTTTGCCTATTTGAGATATAATATTAATAAGGCAAGTAACTTAAAACAGCTAAAATCCATCTCAAGTGAAGCAATATATGGGTTTATAGATTAACAGAAATACTCCTCACCTCCATTCATCAAACAAACACTTTCTATTTCAAGACCACCATCTTGGCCATCTCTCAGTCTGTCTTCATACCTGATGGAAATGGAAACATTCAAGTCAGAAAGTAAAACTCGTCAGACAAAATTATCAATTTAATCTAAATAAGTTAAAAATTTGCCCATTTGTAAAAAAAACTTCCCACTGAACTCTTTTCCCCTTAAAAGTAATTTTATTCAAAATGCCATCTTCTCAGTGATATAAGTCAATAATCTTGTCATTAAATTTAATCATTCAAGGACAAAACTTTATTTATCTATTTATTTTTTTTATCTTTATTTTATTTTATTTTATTTTATTTTATTTTATTTTATTTTTTTTTTTTTTGCAAAATAGCTTAACAGTATCATCTGAATCACTTTAATTTGACTAAAAAGGTAAAATAAAAATTTAAAATATGTTAAGCATTTGGCTTCAATTTACTGTGCAAAGAGTGAGTCCATATACAGTCAATAAAGCATGTGTTCCATACCTGCTGAGTACCTCCTGTGCATATGTATCTCCCAGATCATGTGCCAGTATATGTACAGTATCTATGCCCAGGTGGCCCATCAAGTGCTCAGCAATGTCTGCCTGCTCCATCACTGAGTAGTTGTGACCAGCCTGGAAGAAACAATCACTCAGTATTCTAAAACTGCAGTTGTTTGCTACTCAGAATTAGTTCAAATAAAATCAATGTTTACCCCAAAACAAGCAATATATGGTCTATATAATCAGTGTGTTTGTGTGTGTTTGTTTTACATCAATTTAATTTTTTTTTGTTTTTGTTCTAACATCACGAGTTCAGCACCTAGAGCGCATTCCCAGAGATTTAGATCGATCCAACTAGATCGACCTAAATCCCTGGAGGATCACGCTAAATAGATGTCAGCCAAGCGCGCACTAAAATTAATTACCCCCTTACAGCTTTTAGTAGGTCAGATATTTGAGGCGGCTGACATAAATCTAGTGAGACTCCCCACAGGGATAGATCGATCTAAAATCTGTGGGAATGGGGTCCTAGAGACATGCTGTTAAAGCAACAAATGTTTGTCATTTTCTTTGGTCTTACTGATATTTTTTTAACAATATGAAATTAATTGTTTCCATTTGACAGCATCAATTTTTCAGTATCAAAGGAATAGCCCAAATTTTGTTTCATGTGTCATTTACCGGTTTATCGCTAAATCCAAATCCTAGAAAGTCCAGAACAATCAGACGACCAAACTCTCCTTTCAGGTCCTTCCACATCTAAAGAAAAAGATAAAATTCAAAATTGCTAGAATTAAATGAAGATAACAATTTTTTTTTAAATAAATAGATACTCCCAGTATCTAATTTGTAACATACAATGTATTATGCAATAGCAACTGAAGACCAACACAAAAAATACTGCTAACCATTTAGAATTTTACACAGTTATATAAAACTGTTGTTACACATGTATTAACAACTCTTAATATCTTATTAACGTATATCCAAAAATGTCTTAAGGACAAGGGAGGCAATGCAGCAATTTTCTCTACCCAAAAATCATCACACATGTTATTGTTACATATCAATAGAATCCTTGCTTCAACAGCTATTCACATCACACATTTATTTCATCCTGCAGCAGAAATATAATATTTACATACTTTGGAGAAGTCGTAACTCATTGTGGGGTAACCATGCATCATAAGCAACACTTCTTTTGACTTAGCATCGCCACGTTCATCTGAAACAACAGTATAACTTTTTATGAATTAACTTGAAAATATTAATACTCATTGTAACATAAATTGCTTATAACGGACAGCTATAGACACTTATCTGGAGCTGTTTAATTAGAACATAAACTGATTTTTAATTTGAAAATTGAAACAGTAAATAAATTATTTTCATTATACGGTTACTGAAATGGTGGAGACAATATTAACATGTGGAATCCTAAACCATCACTGAATAGAAGTTTTTTTTTAAGACACAAGCACCTAACAGCATAAAATTAACATATACATCTTACCAATGAAAACATAAAAATAACAGGTTCAACAGTGGATCCAATATTACAGTTAAGTCTCTGAAGTGCATGTAACAGTACTGTTAGAACCCATTCCCACATCTACCGGTAGATAGATCTAGCAGGACCTATCTCTGAGGGGTTTCTCGCTAAATTGACTTCAGCTTAAGCGGCTTAAATGTCTGGCAAGCCTACTGAAGCTGTTAAACAACAATCGATTACCTTCTTAGGAGTTCCAGACATCAGAGCCGCTTAAACTGAAGGCAATTTAGCGAGAACCCCTCAGAGATGGGTCTATCCTAACTACATCAATCTAAGTATGGGAATGGGGTCTGATACTACATCCTCACCTATGTAGAATATCTGATGTCCCTTAAATGAGTGGTATTCTCCTCTGTCTTTCCACTGCTGCAGCTGAGGTGAGAGCTGAGGGGGAGGGAAGTTCACATAAATCCCCAGGAGAACAGCTACCACCACCACCCCAACACCTAACGTGGTCAGAAAACTCATGAAGGCACACTTCCTTTTTGTAGTCTTTGAAACCTAAAAAAAAATTAGAGATTCAAAAGATAGATATTATCAAAGAAGTATTAAATAGATGCACCTTTCAAAATATACCCAGTATGACAAGAATTAAAAGCTTGATTTTGACATTTTGAAAAATACCTTTGAAAAAATAATGCTTCTGGCATACAAAATGGGTGTAGTCTATAGATTGTACGTACTAAACGCCTTCTCCTATATAAACGTGGAACATAAATAGTTTTTTATCTGCCCTATTTTCTGACCCCAGTGCACTTAGAAACATGGTAACCGAGATTTCAATTTGTCCTACTTTTTGACCCCTTGCACTGAAAATAATGTGAAGCCTGCAGTGTACTTGAGTACCCCTAAGACCAAGATCCGACATTTACTGGAAACATGGAACCTGCATGTCACCTCTTTAGGCTGTTCCATCATCAGGAGACGGCAGAGGGGCGTGCCAATATTAAAACAGGTCAGTAAGTCGTAACAAATATAATAAGCCAAAACAAAACACACTGTTTGGAGCTGTACCTAGTACGCAGGATGCAGCTAGGGTGGCACGTACAGGTACTCTGGACACTGCAGGTGTGAATGTATATGAGCGTGCGTGCGGGGGGGAGGGGCAAATGAAAATGATCAGGTCATTCAATGTCAAACTGTACTAAATTCAAATATCACTGGCTTCACCGACTTGCCTTCTGGTCCTAGGACTGCATTTGTCCGGTCTGTTTCAACGTAGATCGAAGTTCACGTGCACCGCCTACTTTGACTAGTTCCCTAATAACGTTTCTGCCACAATCGACAAAGTCAAGATACATTTCATGATGTGAGAACAGAAATATTTACATATGATAAAATACAAGGATAGTAATACAAAAAATCAACAAATATTCCATAACTCATCGCTTAATTTTCATACTGCAAGATAGAAATCTGTAAATGCTTCGTGGAACAATTCAAAGAATCTTGTCAGAGTAAACAGCGGGTCGTGTCAACGTTGTTCATCTTCGATTCAAGATATATCTAGATCTGTATGACTTTAACAAAAGGAGACAAAGCTTAGCTTGAAAACTGCTTCGTGCGACTCAATCGTCACTTTGTGGAGATAATTACATGCGTACATAAACAGTCACTCACAGCTCAACAAAGATTATGTGAAATTTCTGAAAACTTGAAGGAACGTAGTGGTCACATTAGTGCATGGTAAGTAACACAAATGTAGACTGTTGTTGTTGTTGTTGAAAAAGCATAGATCTGCGTGATAAATGTACCGTTGCAACATGCATGTACGGTTGACAGAAATAGAGGTGACTTTGACAATGCTGTACACATGTTTATAGTTGTATTACTAACTGCGCTGTTTGTTACCCCGTATTTGATGTACTGTACATGTACTGTAGTTAGAGGTTCTGCCCATTATTGTACTGTATGTATCTTATTTGTGTCGTGAAGGTGTGTAGACCTACATTTGTCAATAAAAAAAATCTTTGTACTAATCGTAGATCTAAGTTCATTATACACTGTGTACATTAGTATGTAGCACTACATGTAAATTCCGCTCTAACAATACAACTGACTTTTCATGGATTACTTTTTCTGATACAATCTACTGTACATACCGGTATATATATATATATATGTGTGTGTGTGTGTGTGTGTGTGTGTGTATGTACATACATATATATATATATGTATGTTCCAGTTTGCGCTACTGTATATGTGCTGAATGTACAAGGTACAGTGTATATTTGCACATGTTAACACGTATACTACAATATCATATCATATCAGAAAATGTGAAATACAATTGCTATCATCATGAAAGTTCATTCTCATTTACTTGTTACTGGAAGAGCTAGAATCGAATAAAGTCTGCAGCTGGCAGTGTTGGCTTTGTTGGGGTACTTGGAAGTGAAGCCATTTATACATGCAGTAGTTGAAATTGGGTCCTGGTATATAGATCGATTCAACATCAGTGCCCCTTGCACACTAACTGAAAAAAATGCTAATGAATTTAATGTGAGTTTTTTTTCTGTTTTTTTTTTTAGTAATAATATAAGGTTTTGTTTATTTTTATTTATTTATTTTTTGGATGTATGTTTTAACATATAAATATATAATTATATTGAATGCATACGCAGAAATATATTGTAAATCATCAAACACATTGTGTAATAGATGTTTACATGCCTGGTTATTTTCAATTCTCTCATCTCTGCGGGGAGAATACGACTCCAACTGCGTCATACCTGGTTTTCAGAGTTATCTTACACAATTACCCGCACAACCAGGCAACCAGATCATTTTCCCTGCTTCAACCTCAACTTGCTGAGTGCTTAACGAGATGGCAGGTACCATTTTTATAAAGATCTTTGGTATGACCTGGTCGGGGATTGAACCGACCTCCTGCACTGAAGGCGAGCACTCAGCCATTTGAGCAATCAGAACCAGTATTTACTTTTGATTTTGAATGTCTAGTATACCAAAAGGAGAAGGCTTTGAAAGGAAACACCTACTTGCAGCTATACCTGGCTTGGGAAGATAATATTATATTGCATATTTTTTCTACCAGCAAGCAGTCATGAAAATTTTGAACTGTTGATACAAATATTTTAAAAGCGACACCACAATTTACCAATCACGACTTTTCTCTCAACACAATTTGCAGCTGTTCATGTGACTGGAGACAGTGGTTTAATGCTGAATTTAATTACACAAAGTCAAGAAATGAATCATTTTATGTGTACTTTTCAATTATGAATAAAAATTAAATTGACTTTCTCTGTCAAAGTGCAGCACCTTTAAGTCATCGACAGAATTAACAATTAGAGAGAATATTTGGAATTCATGTCATTAACACTGGTAATTGGTTTCTTGTCAATGTTTCTTTTTTAAGTTATATTGTTGTGTTTGAATTATTTTGCTAAATACATGTGGACAAACACACTGTAGACAAAACGCATTTGAATGCAGAGAGAGAGGGAATGTTCTTACTTTTCCAGTAGACTAGTGTGCTAACATGTAAAAAGTACTTATGGAGTAATATAGCATGAGTGATGGGTTGGGTTGAATAATATGCTATGTTTGATAAAGTACATGATCGATTGATCTGTTGATACAATTAACACTTTATAGGAAGGATGCTATATGAGTGATGGTGTAGATTGCATACATTTATTTGAAGAATGGCCTCTAACTTACTTTTGATTTGGTCTTTCTGGGGTCTAACTATCAGCGGAAATATCCATTCAGGTATTTTGCCTTAATATACATGTATGTGTGTATGTGTTACCTAGAATTTAAGGTCAGATATTTGTAGTGCATTTAAGATTAGTTTTAGTTAAAGGGTTACAGGTTTTGGACACAAATTAATTAATAAGTGGGGTTTTGTTTAAAAGGATCTTGCTATTAAAGAAAAAAATCTGAAAAGCATGTCAGAAAGAACAATTTTTGAAGGATAAATATGGTAAATCTTGAAAAAATAGATATATTGGAACTAATGATGCATTTTAAATAAGTAAACTTTGACTGTGATGGACGTCCAAGTACAGAACATGTCATGGTTCTGTATCATAACAGAATTTTCCCAATTGTTTCCATTTAAGATAAGTGCCTGAAAAATACAGTGTATGACTCAACATGTGCAGCAAATTATTGCTGTTTCACTCTTTTAGTGGTTGTGTGGTAATTTCTTTTTCTGGGAAAATTCAGTTTTTAGATGTTAGAAACGTACTAAATGGTACTATCAGATGCTTCTTTCTGTCTAGTGCAAAGTAATCTGTCTTCTGTTAAGTAAAAACAGAGACCTCACTTCCCAGGTTTTTTGGCTTCAGAAATCAATTAAGCTATCACTAAAATTATTCTCTTCTCGGGATTACCTTAGCTTAGGCAAATAATCCGCGCATTGAGGCGTCAAGAGAATAGCAATGATGTGTGAAGCAGTTTAGTAGAAGGGAAAATTAGTACTTCATGTGAGTTGAAATGTGATGCACTGCTCTCTTCTTTCAGATAATCATTCTGAAGCAGATGAAAGCCTCTCTGCTTGTGAGAGATAGGGGTTAATGGTTTGAGAATTGGGAGGATGGTACAGCCAAGGAGGAATTTGTATTTGTCAGTATTAGGGGAAATGAGGAAGGTAAGGGTCTTCTGTCTCTCTCTCTCTCTCTCTCTCTCTCTCTCTGTGTGTGTGTGTGTGTGTGTGTGTGTGTGTGTGTGTGCGTACGTGTGAAAGTGTAATAATAGATTGAAAAAAGGTTAAAAAAAATGCATACAGATGAACAAAGAATGCATACAGGCAAACACTGGTATGATACTTAATACAAAATTGCTAAGAGAGATTGACAGGAAATTGAAGTCAACTGTTTCTTCAGCTTTCTCTTTTATATGTACTTACTAGTATATATATTTTTGTGCTGTAAAACATGGACTTTGAATTAGAAATATATGTCATTTGTAGTCAACTCAATTCATCTTCTGGTATTAAAGATTCAATAAATGCAAAGTCACGGCAGTTGACACCAAAATCTGTGCATTCTAAATGGTAATTTCCCCGTTTGATTGTATTGTAATTCAGCTGAGAAGTCAATACTGACCCCGTTGGATTGTTAGTGAGGTTTATATGATTGGAAACATCTCCATATACCTGCCAGGTAGAAATCTCAAGACATAGGACACTGGAGAGGCTTTGAAGGACAGAAAGGTTAGTTACTGGTGACAGTGGGAATAATATTCAGAAGAAGAGTCATGACCTTTCACTCATTCACATGAGTTTATTCTTTACTGGTTATTTACGTAGTGATTAATTTAAAGCAAGACTTAAACAGTTATATTTATTATATGTACATGTAGAACATGTAGAGTGCCATATTAGAGGTTCTACCTGTCGCAGTAGTATTTGTAGTAATTAAGATGTGAGGTTCATGGCTTTTTGTCAGCCTTGGTTAAGATAATTAACCTGATTGCAATTGACCATGTTGATTGCATGATGATACTGTAATTATACTGTGACACTGGCACATGAATGTATTGTATAATATGAATAGTTTTTAAGTAAAGAAGGCAAACCTGGTTGTGAAAAATAGTTCAATTAAAAAATTACATGGCTTCAATTTTACCTCTAAATTTCTTTCCATTACCATAACAGTAATAAATGTGTGTAAATGAAAATAATAATTGCCATGGGTAGAAGTGATATATTATTATTATTATTATTATTATTATTCAGTTATGATTTAAAAAATCAATTTATTTATTATTTTTATTTGTTTGTTTATTTACTTATTATTTTATGTTATTTTTTATTTGAGTGCAATATTTCATTCCAGCTGATAAGTTGGTATTTAGGTTTCCTGTCATACAGCATGGTGGTTTCCCTACAATTTTACATCTATAGAAAAATGACAAAAAAGATCAAATTCAGACAAATATTGCACAATGGTTGACATTTTCAGAAACACATGAGGAGGGCTTCACTTTACCTTGTGTTCAGCTTATAGAGTTGGTTACAATGTATTGCGTCACGATATCAGACTGTGTAATGGGTTTTTTAAATTATTTTAAAGATAATTAATCTGAAACGAGGCTTCAATCGCAAATACATTTGCAAGTAGAGATTTAATTTTCATACCTTAAATGTTTTTGCTATTTTTACAGACAATAGGACATACAGGTCAATAGATAAACAATCCAAGGAGACAGGAAGAACATCTATCATTTTAGAATAATGTCATGGACGACCTGGTTGAAAATATGGAACAGAGATTCGGCCTCACGGCCAGTAGAGAAAAATGACAGCGTTATGGTGGCAGAATCCCTCATGTCAGAACTTGATTTTCAAATCCATGAGGCGGAGGAGTTGAAATTTCACAAAGAGCAAGAAGCTCGGCGCCAAAAGACAGGGGTGGATTATTCGTGGTTGGTGACAACGCCACCAAAAACCTTCAAAATTCCACCTGGAATGAGATTAGAATTGGAGCAGATGGCCAGTCGAGTTCGACCAAGTGAATGCAGCACTGTATTGACTTCATTTAGGGACGCCCTTTTACAAGAACCAGAGGTGTTCGAAATCCCCCACATCATGCGCGCATGCATTCAGCACGTGTTGTCGCGGCAACCTGTGCCTTCAGAGACGTGGGTAGACTGGGTCGGGCGCAGGACGCAAAGTTTGTCAAACATACGCCTGAGGTCCAGTCCCAAAGTATTGCCAGTGCAGGAGGAGATGGAACTGCAGAGAAAACCACAAGACAAGTGCCCTTCTAGTCAAAGTATGCCAGACTTTAGGTGTGCTTCTGCTCAGGGTGGGAACTTGGATGTATGAGCAAACTTGGTTTTTACTGTAGATAAATTTAGAATAATAATGTTAATGGTGATAAAAATTATCATAATTTATTCAGCTAACATGTAAAAAATATACATCAGTAATTGGTCTCTGCCTGAGCTCTTAAAAGTAAAATATAAAATCATGAAAATATTAGATGTAAAAAAGATTAATTAATATATTTAAAAAGACAATTGGATTAAGAACAAGAGTTAACACAAAAAATAGCTGAAGTAGGGTAAAAGCTCTTTAGAAATCTTTCTCCCTTTAAAAGTTTAAACGTCTCTGATGTATAAGCAAACTTGGATCAGACCTGCAAACTTGGGACGTATTCCCAGACATTTAGATCGATCTATCCCCGTGGGGAGTCTCACTAGATTACTGTCAGATAATCCGGCTTAAATGTCTGTCCCGCATACTACAAGCTGCAAGGGGGTAATTAACTTTCGTGCCCGCTCGGCTGACAGCTATTTAGCGTGAACCCCTAAGGAGTTAGGTCGATCTAGTTTGGATCGCTCTAATCTCTGGGAATGGGGTCTTGGATTTGCTCTTGCTTATCTTTATGAGCATACTTGGGATTGAGGAGATGGTGCATTTGGTTGTATGATCCAATTAGGATCAAGGTTGTTTTTTTGTTTTTTTTTTTTATTCTTTGAAATAAACCTCTGGCCCAGTGCAGTGCTGGCAGTGAAAATGGTGGCTGCAAAAACCTGTGAATGCGGATTATTTGCACTTGCAGCCGCCATATTGGTATTGAAGACTAGATTTTTGTCTGTTATTGAAATTTGTCCTTTTGTAGTAACTTGTGTATCTGTTATGTGTCTCAGATAAATTTATATTGGTGCTCTTTGATATTTGTAGTCCAGATACTGTAGAAAAATTATAATATACTCCACATTGCCTTCTGGTTCTCAGTGTCCAAGATGTAAATAATTTAGCAGATACAGGGCCTGAGAGGTCTGCATTTTTCAAAGACATTGGCGGTTTTAGCCCCAGTAGTTTATCAGAAAAGGAAGGAGAGACTGTTTTGAGATGGGATAGACTGTGAAACTGTAGAATATTTGAAAACGTATTGATTTTAGTGGCCAGTTATTTAATCATGTAAATTATCCAATTTTATTCTAGGTAGTGCCAGGTTACTTCTGAGCATTATTGGATATTGACATTAACTTTGATTTAAAATGTCTGCAAGTTGATACCATACTCACTTCATTCCATATTTCTTTAAGAAAGAACTTTAGTTTAAAATGCAGCGTACTAGTAGCCATTTCAAGCAAGGTTGTGCCACGGACTTTTCAGAATAAAGCTTACTAGTAGTCTAGTTTTGAGTTTAGAAAACATTAACTGTCTGTCTTTGATTGTACCGTGTACATCCAGAAAATAATCAATAAACTCAACTCTTCTTACTGGTGTAAGAAAAATACATGTTTTTCTCCATGACAATATTTCAGTCATCTTTTGAAATGCACAGTTCGATGGCTTCCTGCATTTTGTTCCGACTGAAAGGAATCTTGTTTTTTTAGGTACCCTTCTAAAAAAGCTGACGGTGAAGCAAAAAAAAATGGATAAGTACACAATTTTCCCCTTTAAGAATCACCTGATCCTCACCCCAGCAATAAGTGATCGTTTCTTAAATGTATAACTAATCCCTGTAATACAATTTACGTGTATATTTTAGTAACTGGGTCGATCATTATTGTTTTATTTATTTTTTTTATGTGTTCGGTGTACATACATCCAGTTACTTGTTCATTTTGTATTTATAATCAACATCACTGACGTAATGATTCTCACAGCAACACACAGTACGAGAATATCAGTGACACCCAAGTCTAAAAGCCATCCAAAAAATGGTCATGTTTTAGCAATTGCTCTGCATGAAATTAAAGGTTCAGTTGACTAAATAATTAACAAATTACAGATTTAGTACCCTGAAAACTAGACGCAGTCAAGTTACATTACAAAATACAAAGAGGGAAAATGAGGTCCACATATGTATTCACTAACTGGCAAACACACGATGACTGCCCTCTTCCCGGTGTCACGAAACTGAGGGTCCGTATGACAGAATTTAAGTCCGCCCTCCATATAGGCCTACACTCTTGCCCAAAATGGTTGGTACACGGAAATTTTGGGATGCATATCGCCCTGTTTCTTTCATTATTATTGATATTATCAAATTGATACTGTTTATATTGTGAAATATGTGAAGCTGGAGGATTGGTAAAGTCAAGGAGAAACAACCAATGCAAATGTGAAAAAAAGCGTTATTTTATTTAGGATTTTTTTTTTCTCATGCCCCCAAAAAGAGTACTTTTTTACATAACAGTACCAAGTGAAAAATTAAACATAAATTTATACTGGGATTGACAATTAGGGGAAATTGTCAAGAAACATCTTCAGAGTTCATTATTAATCTCAATGGCGGGTATGCCCACCCCAAGCTTGGATAATGGCCGCCAGACAGCGTGGCATACTGTGAACTAGAGTTACAGCTTTTTGAAGAGGAATTCTGGTCCATTCATCTTGAAGGGCATCTCGCAGTTCATCTAGATTTGTAGGGGGAGGATTTCTCCTCTGAGTAGCACGACCAAGTTCGTCCCACATGTGCTCAATTGGGTTTGCATCTGGGCTTCTTGCTGGCTGTGGCTTCAGCTGAATGTTGTTTTGTCGGATATAGTCTGCAATTAAGCGGGCTGTATGGGGAGTTGGATTGACATGTTGCAATCTAAAATTGTCTCTGTATATCCCTCTTGCGAACGGCTCCAGGTTCTGCAGGAGAATGTCTCTGTATCTGGCAGCGTTAAGAGTTTCATCCAGAGGAAGCAATGGGCAAATACCGTTGCTGCAAATGGCACCCCAAACATGTACAGAACCACTCTCTGTGACTGGTGACTTTCTGGTACATGACACACAAATTTAAGGGACCAGAAAAAGAACCCCTAAAACAGCAGCGTTTATCGTGTGTGGGAACCATTTTTTAACCTTTCCATGCAATTAATATTACCTTGGTAATTTCCGTACATATTAGATATATACTAAACGCTATTTAAATCCAATACAGTACAATTGGGCTCTAATGAAACACATTTATTGAAATCTTGTTGTTTTGAAATCTCTGTACGTTTGTTTGTACAGTCTGCATGCTTGGCTCAATTTAAAAAAATGCAATATCCTTTTAAGATACTGGTAGATAAGATTTTAAATTGCTGCCTAAATTTTTTTCCGACAAGAACCCACGTGCTTTATCTTTGAGCGCGATTTTACCTTATTTGTGCCTTATTCGTATATGTTTATGCGATCCTCTCTTGTCAGCCCATTCTCAAATTTCTCCAATTAAAATACTCATTATTTTCTATTCATTATCAAATTCCCATAAAATAATGTTTTGAACTTTTTTTTTTTTTTTTGCAAAATTTAGACTAATTCAATTTTTAATCAAAAATAAAAAAGGCTTTCACACGAGCAACGGATTTGGCAATTTTTTTAAGATAAACAATTATCTTTTTTCCTTGGCATACATGGTGTATATGGGCACACACGCACACAAACACACACACACACCTACAGAGAGAGAGAGAGAGAGAGAGAGAGAGAGAGAGAGAGAGAAACACACAGATACACACCAGTAAACAACGTACTCTTTCTTTTAAAGCAAGTATCACAAAAAAAAAAATGGAAAAAAAAAGAGAACGCCACAGGTTGTTCTGGTCAAGTTTATTTTATTGCCTTTTCTACACATATGAAAGCAATATAGGCACCCTCTAATTATATGCATAATATCAACAAACACCTCAGAAATAATTTTAGTACGGTAAATATCGGTTTTCATTGCCAGTCTCTGATTTGTCCTCAAAAAGAATTAAGACTCTCATGCTGTATTGTGCGACTATTGTTATTGGTAAGAAAAAACATAAATGACATCTGGGATACGGATGATTTCTTCACCTGCGGCACCGGACCACTGCTGAGCTACCCATGATGGAATTCCCATATTCAGTGAACGAAGAACCTAAAAGACAACGGGAAAAGATGGTACTGATAAAACATTCTTGCACTATTAATACATCTACTACAACTTTTATAGCCCTATTCACAACAGAAAAAAGAAGGCAACGAAGAATATTGGTTGTTTGAGATGTCTTCTGTCTTCAACTGGTGTCTTCAGTTGATTGCCGATGGAAGACCTAGGGCGATGTACATATGTACCTTTATGTAGCTGAGTTGGGAGAAGAGCACGAAATGCCGGGCATCGTCTTTGACAGCGAGTCAGCCAACGTATTCCTCAAAAAGTTGGCAAATGCCTCTCCACATTTCTTCGTGGCGAGTTTTACATGGCAATTAATGAGGCGGTTCTTGGCCCTGAAACATAAAAAAGCATCGAGACTTAAGAAACTTTTTTTTTTAATGCAGCTAAGGATATCCGACGTTATTTAATAATACACATAACAATATTGTTAAGATCGCAATGTGGAACTATTAAGAACTGTGTCGTTATAAATGTATAATGATCAAGCAGTTTTTTTTATTCTTTTGGATCTTCTATCCTCTAGTTCATTCTTAACTGTCTTCAACAACTCTTAATTAACCTAAATTTTTAGGGTTTTAATAAGCCGTCTGTGATTTGATAAAAAACGTATTTATCATTTTTAGCTTTCAATTTTATCATTTCAAATATTTCTAAATTGTAATATTAAGCTCTTAAATTGGCAAAAACATTAAACACCTTGCACAGAACCTGAGAATATGATGAAAGTGTAGATATGAAAGGTATGTGACTTTACCGGCAAACAGATGACTGTTTCGCCCTACCCATCATTGCTTGACCTATCAGCATCCCTAAACGAGTAGTCTTCTGCTTGCACCGCACTCGGGCAGCCACTGTATACCTGCTCATGCATTCTTGATTTTCGAGGATCACTGTAAAATGAAAAAAATCGTATTCGATTTTTATGTGTGATAAATACAACGGTAAACAGATAAATAAAAAAAAAACATGGATAGACAAATAAAATTTCCCACAGAGCAACTACTTGCGAACTATAATATTATAGATCTAAAAATATTGCAGCGGTTTTAGAGGGCATTCTGAACAGCAGACTAACAGATCCGCGGATCAAATATGGCCTACCCACTTGAATGCTTGTTCCGGAATTAGTTGACTAAGATTCCCATGAGAGTGCTGCTACACTGTTCCTGACAGGGTAAGATGTGCCCATGTGGCCATGTTACCTTGGTCATTAGTTCTTAGCCAGGGAACTTGACTTAATTATTATTATTATTATTATTATTATTATTATTATTATTATTTTTATTATTATTATTATTATTATTTTTTTTTTTTTACGATACATTTCAACTGAGCGTGGATTTCCAGTAACGCATATAAATCATTTTTATAGTTTCTTATAAAGTCAACGTGCCAAGGAATAAAACGAATCAATCACTCAATCAGCCATAAAAGAGCTTTGAAACTGCTCCTTCTTCAAACTTTGTGTCGTTAATTGACCAACTTATCTGACCTTCTTATCTACCCCGATCTCTAAAATGCCTATTTCGCTTGATCTAATTTGTGAAAAACAATTTCCTGGATTATTTTGATTGTTAATTCAAAGCGATCAAAGAATTAAGTATTAATCAATTGAAGGCGGATATTATGTATAGTTAAGCATAATTTGGCCGCAGCAAGGTTGTCAGTTACATGTAATTAAGTTTACTCGTAAGAAATGACAAAAAGAGGAAGTGTTATGAAAATAACATTGCTGCTCCTCAACATGTCTTCATAAAGTTTAAACACTTCTGCAAGCTGTTTTTCCATTCATAAACTAATATATTGTACAATTTTGAGGGTGTTTTTGGTGCCAGGGCTTAAAAGGGCATACAGACTGAGGAAAGTGCTATCATAGTTGTTGAGATGATATGAGAATGGTGTCTACAATAATTGATCTTGAAAATAATCACCAATAGAAAAATTAAGCAATTTTCCCAAATGCTTTTTCCCGCCCGTTCATTCCTATGCTTGCCTCTCAGTCACATGAAACGCAAGGTACATGTATGTAACAATCGCGGCATGTCAATAAAGTTTTAGCTCCCTTTTTCTACATACTAGGCGCGTGTTTGACGTTGAATCTGAAATAAATATTGTTAGAGAGAGAGAGAGAGAGAGAGAGACTCACAGTTTCTCTCCTGCGGCCCACATGTTGAATTCACAGTGGATTTCAAGCCCTCTACCATTCCTCTGAAAATCCTAGCAACTTCTGGAACACACGAATCTCTGTTTGCTACCTCATCAGCGCAATCAATAACCCTCGGGTATATGCTAAAGAAAAATAGAAGCAAATAATAAACAGACAAGCAAACAGACATGTAGGCTGACAGAAAAACAAACAGACAGACAGACAATCAAATATTTAGTATTTGATTAATAGTACTCCTAAATTTTTCATCTCTGGTTTCTTAAAGTCTGCAAGTAGTTAGATCAGAACCCTCGTTCATTCAAGACAAAACAAAACAAAGTAACGAAATTCAAATATTTACTTGCACATTGCTTTCAGGTCTTGCGCTGTATACGTATAATTCTGACTGCCGGTAGACATCGCTTCCATAGGTATTCCCTTACTTCGGGCATAATCAGCGAGAGGTTGCAAACACACCTGAATATTTCCTGGGGTGCAAGTTGTTGAATTCCTCACCACTGAGAGTTGAAACGGAATAATCAAGACATCAAGACATAATCAAGACATTTTATAAGGCCTACTCCTTTTAATTTATACTTATTTATTTTTTAATGGTTATTCATTTCATCAATTCATCCTTTGATCTATTCATCCTTTTATAGGCTACAAATTTATTTCTAAACGATATGTTTCTTTACTCATGTTTCAGTTTTTAATTAAATAATTGCCTTATCTATAGGCATAGGCCTATATATATGCTGACAATCAAGGGCTGTCGAATTGAAACAGTCGTCAAATACAATATTTACATAATACGGGAAGAATATGCTTTTCGGTATATTGCGTTAAAAGTTGATCTCGACTTGTAGAAAATACTTTCCGTTTTCTTTTATAAAGCTCTGTAACTCCAATAAATCACAGGAGCTATACATATAAACATATGCTATTTCCAACAACGTGCTCATCTTTGACGGACCACAGTCAAGTATATGTCATTTGTAGTCCAAAGTACATGCAGACTATGGTCTTCGGTCCAAAAGTTATTACGACCAAAGGCATTAAAAAAATAACAAAATTGCAATAGCCATCACTCTTGTACTGGTTGTATATTTTGCTAAAGCGAAATTCAAAGAAAACTTGTGGTAAAACTTACCCCCAGCATTGCACAACGCAACCAGAAACGCGAGGCCGAAAACAGTAGCGGCACCCATGATGCTGTCCCCGTCTATCGTCTGCGGGAACGATTGGGATACAATTAGATCTCCATGCTTTTATACCTTTAAACTAATCATGATTATCCCTCTCGTAATTTCCGTATAATTTTGCTCAACTCATTGTGTGAATGTTGAACGCGATTTGAATCCAATTTTCCAGTATTAAAAAAATAAAGGGGTAGGTCATAAGAGTTTTTGATGCCGTAAAATTGTTCTTTTGGATAGTCTCAAATTGTCTCCCATCTTTTTTTGATAATAAACTTACGTGGAGAGAAAATGCATATAAAACATGATGTAGATATTGTTCCTAAATATGCACGATGCACGTGTGCTTGGGACTCTAAATCTGAAGGTTGACAAAAACTAGAAATTGCTGATTTTTTTACCTCCATTATTACGTAATACATGAACATAATGAAGTTCAGACAGTAGCGACTTCATTATATTCACCATCCGTTCAGATATTGGTTTAAATTAAACCTAAAACACTTCTGTAATCGAAAAGGAAATAATGTTCCGCATGAAACGTCAAGTCTGGACATGTCAAATAATTTGCGAATTTCCGACCTGGATTACCGATTAATTTGTGAAAAATTATAGTTATCAAGTGGTCTTTTTGATTTCGTCAAAATAATCAAATAATATATTAAGCGTAGAATTAATTTCATAAACCACAGCCTACTCTCCAGCGGTTGAATAGGAAAGGAGGTTAAAAGGACTGCCGAATTTAGTCTGAAATAGGCTTATTTCGGTTAATTTCAAATTTCAATTTGAAACCAATATCTTGTAGTGATTTTTTAATATCTAAATAAGCCTAGACTAGTGGGACTGCATCGTATAATACTGCATTGCAAGTTTGTTGGGACCTATGGTCTCAAGGACCCCACCAAATTTCATTGAAAAGTTGCATCAAATCTCAAATCTGTTCTTTTCTCATAATTTCCCCACGGGACCTTTGAAGAAATAGTGTCGAATTTTGATTTCAGTCAAGCGAACGCAGTTTGGAAAAGGCTTGTCTCATTGCGACAGATGCGCCGCTTCAAGCAAGCAATCGCTGTCACAACAACGCAGACAGACAGTGAAACAAAAGCGCAACGATCATCGTAAGAAACTTTTTTGTAAACACACACTAATAGGTTAAACAATTTAATAACGATATTTCATACAATTCCACGCTCATGAACGGATGTGTAATAAAATTTCAAATCAGAACAAGACGGACGCTGGTTATACGGTAAAAAAGTAAGAAGCAACGAACAAGCAAACGGGATATAATATTTTTTATTACAATGGCAGACTTTTTTCACATAATCATTTTTCTATTGATGGAACAGCACCGTCCCTTGTATGCTATTTCTCTATTGCTTTAAAAAATCATAAAGTTCTTACGTATGATCACAGACTAAATGAAAATGAGATTCTCATAATAAAAAATGCAATAAGTAGTAAGCTACAACAAAAATGACATTTCCAAGCTGTAAAAAGTCTTTGCACATTATGAACAGTTTTCTGTACTCTTTTTTTTTATTTTTTGACTAGAGGGATATTTGCAAGGTCCACTGCTACCCAAATACAAAATTTCATAACATATCCAAATTATATAAGACAAATTCAAGTAAAGTATTAAAAAACAAAAGAACACATTCAGAATGATATCCATTTATATCAGACATACCTTTCTCATTAATATCTTATACCTTTCTCATTAATATCTAGATAGGCCATCAAAGAGCAAAAATCTCTGCTCAAAAAACAAAATAGAAAAAAAAGGCTGCCAAGCACATGATCACATTACATCAAAAACACACTCTATAAAAGCCTATAATCACATGGTGCAAAAGCATAAATATAGAGAACTGTATAATAAGCAACAAAATTCTTAAATCTTTTTGTTGCACTTAAACCACTGTTGATCATTCAGAGAAACCACAGAGGATAACACCTCAATTCACTGCTTTGACTTGTTAGAGGGTTAAAACATACTCTTTTGTATATATAAGAAAAATAATGATCTGTAACACACACACACAACAACACTTTCTTGAATAATCATTTTTACAACTTTGAATTTATATTTGTTCATTCTCAGATTAATATCATAAAATAATTAGATACCTATTCAAGACACTTCAAAACCATTGCTCCGATTAAAGCTTTCCAAATATATCCTACTGGTATCACTGTATGAAAAATTAAATAAATAATCAAAAATAAATAAAACTTTCTTTTAAAAAGCGAAATCAAATCAAATCTATGTATGTTTTACAGTGTTGTACCAATTTGAGTACGCAAAACGAGAACAGACTCAAAACTAAATATCTAAATAAATCATTATAAATAATACCTTGTTCTGAAGCATGCAGAAACCAAATAAACTTTACCCTTCAGAAGGTTCTGAATAATTACACATCTTTTCACAGCTATCAGAAAGAGGCGATTACCCAATCCATAAAAACGGTAACATTATGTATTCTAGTTTATTCACTTGTCAAAAAATTGCAGCTGTTTATAGGTGTCGCAACTTACACAGCAATATATTTAGAATAAACTTTCACCTTTTCTATATAAATAATTTTTTTTTTCAAAAAATGAGATTTAAAAACAGGAACAAAAATGTTGTAACAACTGCGAATATTCAAAACATGTAAAATAAAAATTTCCTAGCCCAGCACTTAAATTTTAATCATAAAAGAACACAAAATATACAAGCAAATATGACAATATTTTGCATGTGATCAGTACTTAAAGAAAGCATGAAAATATACCCCATACCACTGATTGTAAAGAATAAATATAAATAAAATAATGCAAAATGGTAAACTGACCTTTGTAACAGTATACACATGATAAATACACCAAAACATACAACTCTTATTTCTCTATTTATCACAACATAAAAAAGAAAACACTGAAGTATTATTTTTTCTTTTAGATCGTAATAAGTCAACAATATAATGTAGCTTCTCTCTCTTGAAATTTAGCTTTTAAATCAGTTGAAAAGCTGACAATCCCAAGTTGACCAATTTTCCATATAAATCTTATGCAAAACAATAATTAGAACTCTTAATAAATAAATAAATAAATAAATAAATAAATAAAATCTAATTAAAAATAAACACAAAAACTTTTCAAATTTATAAACAAAATGGTCTATGTAAAACCACTGGTCAAACATTAACGAGACGTATAGTAGTCCAGGTTCTAGCCTTATACAACTAAACATCACAATGTAACTGTGAATTCAACCTATCCATTGCAATACGGACTCCGTTTACTTCTTCCTCCAGTGTGTTCTGGTCAGTACTGGACGACGATTCCGGCGTGATAATGATACCAGAGTTAAGGTCAGAGTCTGATTTTGATGAGGATTCACTGCTTTTACTTGCTTTTCTAAATTCAGAATCACATGTACTTCTAAAGAGAAGCTTTGGGAAAGAAAATCGGTGTTTGGGTTTGTCTGCTGGTTTCACAGGAGCCGTCACAGCTTGGCTGTTCTTAATGTTCATCTTTGTATTGGTCTTATTTTGCTGAGTGACTTCTTGTGTTGGGCTAGGACTATTGTTAAGAACTGAGTAGCCATATTGGCTCTGAGACCCTAGTAACACTCTGCTCTGAGCATCGATAGATTTATCATGTGGATACTCGGGACTGCTCTGCTTGTTGTCATTATTCCGTTTGCTTTTAGATGGACTCGAGTTATTTTTTCTTTTCATTAGGCTACTCGTTTTAAATTTGGAAGTCTCACTAGTCGGTGATTGTTTCACAGCTTTGTTCTGTGAAAGTTTTGATTGTGACAGTTGTGATTGCGGTAGTTGGGATTGTGTTTGTTGAGACAGTGCTGGAGGAGACTGCCTGGCCCTTGCCTCTGTATTGCTGCCTGTGGTATTTGTTGCCTGAGTATCCAAATCTGTTTCAGCCGGTAATACAGCACCAGTTTTTCCATTGTTTGACCTTTCTGATCCTGGTTTAAGGTCGCCATTTTGGTCCGAGTCCCAAATCTTCTGCATCGAGCCATTATCTACAGTCGAGGCATCCTTGAATAAAAAAAGTCAGAATTTGTATGTGACAGTTACTTGTCTGGAATAAAATGGGAATGAACCCAGTATTGATAATATCTTTAAATAATCTGATCTCTCATTTAATCTCTTTTTGACTGCTTTCAAGTCTTATGCCTTCTTCTATATAGATTGCTTCAGTTTCAATACAAGCTTTGCAAACACACGATGATCAAACAATGTTAAAAACACTTAAAAATGCATCAATAAAACAAGTTTATTTTCATTTGGAATAGCAGAAACTTCTTCTTTACTTCTGAGACAAAAAGGCTGTAAAAAAATTTAAGCAGCACCAATATTTTGCACATTTCAAGTCTCCTTCAATCTCAGATGGCCGCAAACCAATTTATCTGAATACAAATGTAACTTAGCAATATCTGTTTAAATTCACAGCACGCTGGTGACCTTCATTCCTAACCCTTACCATTGTGGTTTTAAAAAGAAAATCATACCTTTGGTTCCAGTAGAGATTCAGTTGCAGGAGGCTCTTTTGGCATCGAGCTATCTTCGCCCTGGAGACAGCTTATGGCACTGGGGTGATGTGTGTGGGTGGAGGACGGACAGGCATGAGAACTCCCGCCCTCCTTTGCTTTGGCAACAATACCACTCTGGGGCTCACTGTCGAGCTGGCGAATTATAACAGGTTCTGCTGTTAACTCCGAGTCATCTATGGTTGACTTGAACACAGGCCCAGTAGGTTTTTCTCTGGCTGGGCTGTTGAGATAGGAAGTACTGGGTGTGAGGGGAGATGGCGAGTCCCCCACTTGTTGATGGACGTCCACCCCTGCATAGCGATTTAAAGGAAGCATTTCTTCCGGAACCAACGGGCCAGCATCGTGAATGATGTTGATGTCTTCCTCCCCGCCTCCACCCCCTCCAGTTACCATGTGTTCTTCCGCCATTGATCCCAGAGAGCTGCTGAGGTCGTCGTCGTTGCCGTCGTCCCAATGGAGGTTCGACACCTCCTGTTGATCCACTGAACTACATTCTACTAAATTCCGACAGGGTGAGAAATACAATATGCCGCACGACTGGCCGCAATTGTCAGCAGAGTGGTCATTGTTTGGCCGATGGTGGTAGCGGAAAGGCTGAGTGGCAACGTAAGACATGGTCGCACACAGACACAGTTCTAGTATCCTGAATGAAAATTTAAAGGCCCACCACGGCCAGGGTTCAGGAGTCTGGGTGGAGAACACCCCATACACTCCAACCAAAGCATACACTTTCAACATTGCACTTAAACATCCAAGTATAGCTGCCACTAGGACAAGTTTCACAGCCAGGCTTAATGTGAACTGATATGATTTATGGAATGGGCGAACTCGGCCGTATGTGTGAACAATATGCCTTGATGCTAGCTTCTCCATCCCTCGTTGGCGTTTCAGTGCCGCTGTGTAAAGTCTTCGAAAAATATATAAATATCCAATGAATATCAGGAATCCCCATAATATAAATGCCAGCTGGCAGAGAAAAAGCATCAGTTTCGCACTGACGAAATAGCCCACTATGATGTCTGTGAGTATAGAAAATCCAAAATGGCTGCCAATAATAACAGCCAAATATTTTGCCTTTTGGATTTTGGGAGACAGCAGCTGCATTCTGGTGGTTCGAAGCAAGGCAAGAAATAAGATGCTGAATGCGGATGTAATACATGGAAAAGTCAGCGTGTATAAAAAATATGAGACAAATCGTGGGAATGTGTTGTTAGCATTATAACCATCCACTAGAAGATATATAGTCCTTGTGGATGCCATGAGTAACATTAACCCTGTCAGGGAAAGAAAATATCCTCTGCTAAGCAGATTCCTCTTTCTATATAACCTCACTATGCTGACAAGTAAAAACACAGCCAGGAGTAAGAATAAAGAACCAATTCCATACAAGTGAATTGGCCACGCAGCCCCCCACAATTCCCTGGCTTCCTCCCACTCGGGTTCAGGCTCGGCATAGGCAGACCCAGGTTCAGGTTCCGGCTCTGGCGCCAGGGAGGTATTGTCTGAACTGAACCCTGTCATTGTACTTAAGTTCGTGTGAACTGTTACTCTGCTCGACCCAACTGCACTGGTATAACTTGTTACAGATGCCGTCATTGTCAAAAGCTCCACAGCTGCTGTTACTGTAACTGCAGCAGTTGTTGTAGTTGTTGCATTTGTTAATGTAGTTCCATTTGTAGCTGGCATAAAATCATGAGTGGTTGAATTATGTGCAGGACACAGATCCTCTTTGTGTAAACTGAGCACTCATTTCCAAGTTGAACATAGTGTTCTCTCTTGTCAGGGTCAAAGTGACATTTTTTGCTTCCGAATTCTAGATTACATTTGTTAAAAAAAAAAAAAATGGATTTTTTTCTGCGCACTTTCGTTTAACAAATTCGAAATCTTTAGCATTGGTGACAGTTAGTCTTGTATTAAAAGGAACAAACCAAGTAGACTTTCTTTCTTGGAAAATGTCATTCACCAATGAAGCCTTCACATCCTGTTTCTGAATACAAATAAAAAAAAAAAAAAAAAACAGGGCAGCAACAATCACAGTTCAATTCAGTATTCCTATTCACTTGTAGCTAACTCTGTGTTGAAAATTATGGCTGTTTCTATCACAGTGCCAGCACAGCAAACGCTGCACCCTGATTTAGATGTCTTCTAATGGGAATGAAATACAGACAGGGCTACTGCTGCTTAGTTTCCCCCTTGATAAATTTCTTTTTTTTTTACTCATTCACCTGCAGACAAATTGCTGTAGAGGAAAGACTGCCACCGTATAGACGGCACTGGTACAGATGTCGTATCCTCATTGAACAGCAATTTTCACCATCAAGCAGAACAAAAACACGATGGCTTGCACACTCGTTCACATATTCATTAGAAATCTTCCTCCTGTTGCTCATAAAAAAAATGTGAAAGCAAATCATGGGTTGCTGCTGCAACGTTGTAGGCTTGGGTGCTAAGGCGCCCTTGGGTAACAATTATGTTGCTGTGTTATAAGGAATACATGAGAGTTACTGCTGCACATCATAGACTACGCATCAACAATGCCGATCTTCATATACTGCTGTTATGTCTTTTTCTTGTTCTTGTGGCTTTGGAGAGAAAAACCCATGTGCACTCGTTGTGAAAAGGAAACTGCTTGCTGCATGTAGATGAAGATGATAATTTTGTCATTGGTTTCTTCTTCACCCTGTATCATCACTTCCTGTTGCAGCTACATATTAAATGATCTTCTGTATTTGCATCCTCTTTTCCTGGAGACTTGGGTGACTGCCTACGATGAAAATGGTCTCTGAGCGTCTGGAAGGAGATGTAAAACTATTACCAAACTATCATCTTAACTCGCCTTAAAATTAATTCATAATACTGTTGACCAATACTTGTAGAAATGCTTAATTATCTTTGTTAGTCACAGTAAAACTTTCTTAATTTTTTCAAGTAATTAATTAATTAATCACATTTCAAAACATCAAATTGATTGATATGTATTATTTACTAAAACCTGGAATCAGAAGTACTTCTTACAATAAACATGAAAATTAAACAAGCATAAGGTGTGTGATGGAAGCCTATTTACAAAAAGGCAGAAAATTTAATCTATTACTAAATGACCTGCTTAGCTGTGTCGCAATACTTTCAGAGAACATAAAAAACAAAGCATTATCATATCTAGAACAATAAGTTCGTATCAAATAAAATCTAATTTTAATGACAGCAATTACAAATAGTTATATAAATTGAGTAAAACAACTGCATGTTAAAAACCATTTGTGATTGTGACTATCTTAAGTTTAAACATGCAATGTCAGCAATAATGAATTGCTGAAAGCAAGCTGATGTTGTTCATGAACTTGTTTATGGTATAAGTTTTGACATGAAATATATTTTTTTCTTTACTGCACGACACATTTTTAGAGAGCTTCTGCAGAATATTTCTGAAACTACTAAAAAAGGAATCCGAGAATGCAGACCTCTGCCAAGATGGCTCAATTCTCATTAATCAATTAATTAATTAATGGATCACTTCCAAAATCTAATGTTCTTATAAAATGTTTGCATAACCAAACGTATGCCATAGTGATATTTTCAACTACTCTAGATATATAAGTGTAAAAACAAACAAGCATTCAGGAATGGTCAGCTCACGACTCCTATCCTCCAATACAGTAGCAGCTAATAACATAAACTCTGTAATTTCTGGCATATCCGAGCTATTTCGAACAATAAAAGTTGGAACATTTCTGACCTATCCTGAACATTTTACTGAAATCCATGCATAACTTTTTTGTATAATGTTGCTCAACAGACAAACAGATTGGCTGACAACAAATGGAACTTAATGATCTAGACTGTTATCTCAAACACCACAAAAACCTACTAGTACTCATTTTTTACTTGGTCCACACCTGATGGTTTCCGAAAATTTCATCAAATTCTGTCCATAACTTCTGAACTTATGTTGCTGACAGATGAACAGACAAGCATACATACAAGCAGAACCACAGACAACCTCCCAAGCCTATATAATGTGGAGGTAGAAAACTCCATTTGCCTATATAATGGTGGAGGTAGAAATCTCCATTTGCCTATATAATGTGGAGGTAGAAATCTCCATTTGCCTATATAATGGTGGAGGTAGAAATCTACATGTCTTCTGCGCAGTTGTTGGGGATTCAAACTGTTTTAGATTTGACCATGTATTTGATGCACAAGTTTATTAATATAAATCATATTTTTAAAAATATCCACAATAATAATAATAATAATAATAATAATACTTAATATCCACAATAATAATAATAATAATAATACTTAACGGCCTTTTTTTTGCTCCTGACATTAATATCTCACGTTTTCTCTCATTTCATGGCTGTATCATTAATGCTACAAGGCCTTTAAGTTATTAACGGCTCAACTCTCCAAGCTGTAAGGAAAGCTGCAGGGGAATCATGTTATACTTAATTGTAAGTGTGAATAAAACAGCCAGGGGGACTTGATCTGAGCCCTGGGTGGCAGCTCTCATGAGCTCCTCGAATTCACTAGAAATTCTAGCAAGGATTCCGGGATTCTAGACAAATACATCACATAATCTGGGTAAACTATCAATGCAGGTTTGTTATGACTGAATCTAGTAAGATGTTTGCCAAAAGGTCATTGACATTGACTCAAACTATGAGTAAACTATTCTTTCAATTTCGAATGACCTTCTAAAGAGAGAGGTAAAATTACTAGGTTTGTTTACTACATTAAATTCCAACTTCAATTTTGCCAACAAGGCAAATGATTTTCCGATCCAATATAATGCCAGTATGATAAAACTGGATCTTAAACGCTATCATTTTCAATTTATTCATAAGCTGATGCATGCATATGCAAAACAAGTACAATAGCAAAAGAAAAAAAAAAAAAAGAAAAAAAAAAGAATAAAATAAAATACATGAATAAATAATAATAATAATCTATGCATAGGAGGCAGTCTGCATGTATTGACATGAATGCTACTCTTATATTGGAACAAATGCTCAATCTTACTCTCCACTTTCTCAAAAAAGCCTAATCTGAAGATCCAATTTTTAATCCAAGGTTATTAAAACCATCACGAATATGGAGTCTTGTTACATATCATCTAATCACAAGTGTGCATATATTCTAGTCCCATTCCTAATCTTCAATAGTTCTGGTGTGAATGTGGCTGAAAAGACACATTTACTTCTTCTCATTAACACCAGCAAAAATATAATTGAAGGAAAAACAAAAAAATTGTGTTTTAAATTTGGACGGTGGCAGACGCTTTTACTGAAAGGTCCCTAGTAAAATAATAGTGTTAGTTATTATATAGCATTAGATAATGTTGAATTAATTAAAATTACGTAATGTTGTAGCATCAATAACAAATATTCAAACAAATAGTGACATGTTTCTCAGCACACATTTTGTACACATGCCTTGATATCTCGATATCCCTAAACACAGGTGAAAACTAAGTCAACACCAGATGCAGACTTAGGCCCATTTCTTAGTACCCTATCTGTACATGTGTCTTGACATCTCTACTAGTTAGTAATTATACAGGTGAAAACAGTGTCAGCGTAAGAGATAGTGTGTGTCACCTTTTACAATATGGTCTGGTGCCTTACCCTGCTGTCCCAGATGTAATACAAGCTTTTCTTCACCCAAACTAAATGTCACCTACAGGTCTGTTCACACAAAACTAAAAGAATTCGCAACTGATATTGTCTAAACTGATGCAAGTAGCCTTCGTGAACACACGGCAAATTATTTTTACTCTAGCTAAATTATTCAATAATTATTTTGCAAAAGTAAACAAATATTTGCTTTGTTTTTTGTATCTTTTAAAAGATGAGATGAAGTACTAGTTATAGATCTCAGATTGAAATTTTATCCAAAATCACATGCCTAAAAATAAATCTGGAAGAAAGTCAGTGAGATACTGGGGATGGGGTAAGTCAGATACTTAAAATAAAATTATTAGTGTGATATGAAACTGACAATCAGTACAAAGTTAACTGCAATTAAAACCCACAGAGATAGAGATTCCTTTAAGTCTCAGTCCACCCATGATTCAGACTGGAACTAGGGTGAACGCGGCCAACATGTCTTCATGCACAGTAAGGTCAGACCACGGCGTACAGTGAATATCATCTATGTACATGTAACACATGCATGGAATAACATGGGGCTCTGTTCCCAAGCTTGACAAAAACAGATTAAAAATCCATGTGCATAAATGAACTATTTATGCTTGCTCCACGATATCTAATGTGCACAAAGATCACCTACGAAGAGATATGGAGAAGGGGGAGGGAAGTTGCACTTCCAGTGCTTGAAATTAATCTCTTAATTGACATATCTATATTTTAGTACCTGACACATTTTTATCATGCCATTGCAAACATATATATATATGCACACATTTCTAGTATGCACACGCATCTGCTTACTGAGTTTGCACACAATAAACTAACGTGTGCATGCAATGTCTGTGCGATCCCCAACTAGTACTGGTTTACAGACGTACAACACACACCTATAATTACTGTAGCACACTCGAATAAACTAACAGTTCTCTTCATTCCAAACAGCCTATATTATAAGCATGAACATTGTATTTTCTTTGCAAGGGCTGCCAACAATACTTTTACATTACTTGAAATGTATCGAACCACTATACGTTTTAAACATGTATTTACAGTATAAAATATGAGAATAAAAGAAATCAATAATAATAATAATAATAATAATAATAATAATAATAATAATAAGTACATCTGTATAAATAAAGAAGTGCATGGGAGATAAACCAGATAAAGCTGGCAAACTTTTGAAAAAAAAAAAAAAATGCAACTGTGCCTACAGACAAAACCTCCATACATTAATTCCAGACACATTTTCTTGATGCAGTTAACTGATACTAAAGCAAAATATAAATCTTTAAAGATGGCGCCAAGGACGCATGCATACCAGGAAACATTCACATCATGCAAAAGAAAAAAAAAAAAAAAGAAGTTTCAACCAACAGTTTTGTGCAGCTATAGCAGTCCGCTTTCTCTTAACATAAATGTTCTTATATGCACAAAGCACTGCTAGGTTTTACCACTGCATCACTCCTGCAGAGTATGTGTGCACACACAAAAGCACGCATGCACACACATGCTTATGTAGTATTTGTTATTGGAAGGGTATATTGGGACCCAGACCCAGGAATTTGTTTTGCATACTTTGTCTGGTAAATTGATGTTTCCGGGGGTCTGTTGCACAAAGCAAATTAAGTTTCTGGGCTTCGTCAGGACTGCTCAACTCCGCTGCGTAAATTCCCCGTAAATTCCACTTGGCAATGGCGGTCAAATAATGTTTCATCAACAATGCAGATGCTCATAATGCCTGTAGTCAGCAGGTTGGTGCTGTTATGGTTTCTTTTTAACATTGAAAGTAAAAATCATTGTTAAGCAATCACAGTTTGCTCTGAAAGACCTTCCAGTTTAAACCAATCAACAAACGAACAAACGAAGAGAAAAAGAGATTAAGATAAAAACGGTGCTGATTTTTTATTATGAAATGCAACTAAGTTTCCTACGATCCATACCAGTCTAAGCTTCGCCTGATTTTTGATGTAATTTGTTAGTTGTGTATACATAAAGGTGCCCTAAATGCAACATTCAAGGTTGAGTCTAAAAAGAGCCCGCATCATAATTTTTTATTTTCATGGAAAGGTCAAGTTCAAAACAATAATATCACTCTCACTTTCAATTCCCATGAACAAGGTTAAATACAAAAGACAC